TTTACCATGTTTATAAAATATTTTATTTGACCAATACATGACTTTTAGGGGTACTCCATTGTCATCTCCTTGTTACGGGTTTTGCCGCCTTTTTTGTCAGTGGGCCCTGGGACCCACTCGGTCAGTTTTATCTCCCAGGCCCGTTCGATACACAGCTCGTGTGTTGCGCTTTAGTTTCGGTAGGTTTCACCTTAATTTATCACCTCAGTTTCTCAGTTTATCATTCATCGCAGCACCATCCATGTAAGTTTTCATCGTACCGTTATTTTATTGTTTTTGCCTTGTCGTATTTTCTGTTTTCTATGTTCGTTTCATCGTTTTCTGTATTTTATTTATTTACATGTAGTTTCACCATTGGACACTGAAGGAAAATAAACCATCGATTTGTATACTCTTCGTGTCTCGGTTGAACACTACGCTAAGAACGCGATACTCCTGCTACAAACAGATGGGTGAGGAGAAGCTCAGTTTAAAGATATGAATTACCTTTTTAAGTCTCAACCTACAACTGTAAGCTTGTATCCTCATCGCTTCGCACAATTAGGAAACCAATGAGGCCATGTGTTATTAGATGAAACGTCACACTTCTTGCAGACGCCAAACATAAACAGGTATTTTGGAAGACGTAAAACCCGTTCCAGAATGAAGGATGTCCGTCGTTTTGGCCTCTTGAAGATCATATGAAATTCTATGGTAGTCGGCCTACTAACGATAACGTTCGCGGATGCTAGCTACATTAAAGCTTTCCGTTGGAAGTGGTCAGCAGTTTAATGTTAATTTCAAGATGATGGTCATTTCGTGTCCTCCATCGGACTGCAACAATCGGAGAGCTGACAAGCGCAAAATATTCCAGGATATGTACATTTAAACGATTCACCATGTTCATAAACTATTTTATTTGACTAATACATGACTTTTAGGGGTACTCCATCCAGGTACTCCATAGGGTACTCCATGGAGTAGGGCCACAGGGACCCAGACATTGGACGAATATGGTTGTTTATTCGAAATATAAAGGAATGTATGGGAGAATATTGAAGAGTCTTATCATCGTAAACTTATACCACGAAATGTCTGAGTTAAAGCTCAAAATAAATGTAAACCTACCTCACTTGCTGTGTATTGTCGTTTCCGTGGCTCTAAATGGCGAATTTGAGTGATTTGCTGGGTTTTGCGTCGACTGTTACTATACATTATAAGAAGAAGATAATATTCTCCCATACATTCCTCTATATTTCGAATAAACAACCAGACTCCTGGCTTGTCTGGGCTCCCTGTGGTAGGGCTCCGCGTTTTGTCATCTCCTGGCCTGGGGGAACCCTCGCTGCACCTCAGTTGAGTTGTAGAGCCTTGTGAGTAAATTTGATCCGTTAAGTGAGTTATGAAGAGATTATGTTTTTTCTAATGAGATCTTTTTCTGCCAAAATTTGTTATCATGGTGTAATGTTTTTATTCAAAGGTGTTTTGCTTCACTGTTTGTTTTCATCAAATCCGTGGGAAGTTTAAAATCCTTGGAGGCCATGTTGTCATCTGCCACTGTGTCAAACGACAGAAAGGAGATGCTTGAATGTGTGGCAAATGGCTACAGAATATCTGCCAAATTGATGATAAAATTAAGGGTTGGGTGCTTACATGTATTAAGGGGACGCCAAATGTTCAGTTGAAATTAATTCAGAGTAACTTTAAGTGTATTAATGATGCATAGAATACTAAATTTGTATGAGATCAATGAAGAGAAAAAGTTGCGAAGGTTCACCAGAGATATATATAGATCTGTCAAACCATTGCTTTAAAAATCGAGGTTCTCAAAAGAAAAAAAAATGGAATGATTTTTAATCCATTTAAAAGTGAACCATTAGCCCTTGATTTTTTAATTTCATTTCATTTAGAATCAATTTCCTTTACATTCACTTGGAAATTCAAGACATCCTGGCTTTTTGTTATTCTTTTGTACTAATTACTCTTAATAGATTGGAATTTGCTTTAGGTTGATTAACTCTCAACTTCTCCTCACAATATAACAACAGTTCATTCCATAAAAAGGATGTTGTCTTGGTATCAGATTAAATATACTGAACTCATTTATATTACATATTGACTTGTGTGGCAAGATGTTTCTGGATTCTAAGGGTCGAGAGAATGTTCCATAGTACATGCAGTGACAGAAAATTAGTTGTACAATGTACATCCAATTGGACCAACCAGAAAGAAAATATCTTGTTCCCTTTCTTCAAAACATTTGTTTTTTGACAACCAACTCTTAAACCACACATGTTGGGTTTGACATCTACAGTTATATTTACTTAGTATGAAAACATATTGGATTGTTTCATCTTTACATGAAAACATGTTGTTTTTAAATTTATGCATGGAGTCAAAAATAAATTGAGATGCCAAAATTGGCAGAGTTTAATCTGATGAAATTGACCGTGTTTGGTTTCTTAAAATTCATGAGCATGTTGAGGTTAATAACTTCATGACTCTCTGTTGATCATTAGCTATCTCATTACAGCCCTCTGCCCCCCATATTTACCCTGATACAACTTGACTGCAGCATTATCTAGTAAGGGCAAACAGTTAAAAAAATTCCTAGGTACCTATTAGAGATAACTTATTTATTAATTAAAAGTGAGGTGCAATCATGTTATGGTTACATTGTGCATTTTTTGTGCAACTTTTGTGCATTTTTTTTGTGCCAACTGCATGAACAAATAAGAATTGAAAGGGAACAAGAGCAAAATTGATTTTTTTAATCTTAGTTTGTTTTTATGCTTGACATGTTATCTCTTTCAAGCAGTACGTTAATGTATAGCAATTAAGCCAGCTGTTATCTGCAATGTAGGGTGGAGTTCCATGACCATTTCCATGGATCATACATGCATGCTGTTGAGAAGTAATTATAATAGTTTGATTGCAAAGGGGCAAATTGTATGTTTTGTGATTTGTTTTTCAAATTATGGATGTGCAAGCTACTTTCTCTTTCAGAGTATGTCCATGAAGTTGGTATTTATGTATATGCAGCCCAACACAAAACAATCAAGTACGACACATGAGCTACAGACAGCTCCCCCTTATAAAAGTTTCATATTAATTAACAATATATTTTTCTTCACTGTTTCCTCTCCTCTGTCAAGTTTGTGTTTCCAAAAATAAGAACCTTTTTAGCCTGTTTTCAGTATAATCAAAGCTTAGTGTACTAAATCACACCCTCAAGTCACTGCTCTCCACCTTAACCTAATGGAAATAATTAAAAACATTGTAAAAATTTATACATTCCAAAACAACAGGGAACTTTTTATTTGCTCAACATAAAAGCTTCTGACAATTTCATTTATTTCAGGAGACGTTTTTTAATCGATTTTCTTTATCCATGTTGCAAAGTAATTCTATGCAAAAAGGTAAATTAGGCCATTAACTTTCATACACGATTGATATGTAAATTTTATTACACAACTCAAGCAGTCAGAGGGCCAATAACTAAAATCAACCAATCAAAATGCACTGTCCCAAATGGTCCCGAATCATGATACCGCACTCGTGTCCCTTTGAATTTCAGTCGTTTAATAAATCTCTTATTAACCAAGCTTGCTCGGGACCGTACTGGAAGAATATCGGCCCTCGGTGTTTTTTGTATGGACCTCGCTGCGCTTGGTCCGTACTGTCAAGACCTCGGGCCAATATTCTCCCAGCACGGCCCACGCGCTTGGTTAATAAGATATATATAACATTTCGCTCAGTAGTCAATTAAAATTGGTATGCCATTAAAATGCGACCAGTACTTTTTTTTATGTACAATAGAGATTCTTTACAAGGTCTTAAGAGTTTAGAGTGCAAAAACTTGCTTAAAAATGGAATTATAGGACTCTTCTTCAGTGGAAAAAAGTGCATGTAGGTGCCCATTTGGCTACCAGTGAATAAAACTGGGTAAGTAGTCTCTAAAGAAACTGTGCAGCCGCATCAGTGGAGGAGTATAACAGGTAGTAATTTTGGCTGTATCAAAACTCTTTTCAGTGGCCAATTTACATTACGACTCAGGTGAATAATCAACATTTCAGTGGATTACATTTCAGTGGATACCACTTCAGTTGAGGAATCTGGTAAACTGATACTGGTGGTAGCAATGCATTAATATACTAAGGCGTAGACAAATGTAGAACATTACTTGCTACAAAGTACTTTTTCTACTCAGATCAATAGGAGGGTCTACATACTTAAAAGTTTAAATCTGCCCTTCAACCCTTAATTTTGTTAACAGATTGGCTTTACCAGACAACCCTAAATACCACAGAAGATTGTTGACGAAAAAAATTCTTTTGCTCCTTAAATGTGCAGATTCAAACACTAAAACACTGATACTGCTTGTGGTGACCCCCTCCCACCAAGCTTGAATGGTACAGTATGCCCCCCCCCCACATTGAATAACTTTACCTTTTTTGAAAAAGGTTTGTTCACAATCAACCAAAATAACAGCATAAAAATATGTGACCACGCTTCCTGAAATACTAGTGACCTGATAATATTATCTATTGCTTTCATATAACCTCATTAGTATAATTTTTGCTCCAAATATTTTGACTCTCATAAGTTGTAATTTGGGGTAATGTGGGTGTGTTGTTGTCAAAATTGTTCCACCCTAGCTTAACAATAGGATAAATTGTACCAAAACCTATATTAAGCCTTTTGCTCTTCCAAGATGATTCAATTGCTACGCTGCTAGTCTGACTTTTTTTTTGACATGGATGCCAGTAGCAATTAAACCATAATTTCCATTTTGATATAGGTTTTCTTTTAAACCTTAACACCCAAAAATCATGAATATGCATACTCTCCATGCTGTTCTGTATACACTTCCTTAACAGCTTCTCCAGTTGATGATTGTTTGCTTTATTCTCCAGTCCTTAATGTGTGATTCCGGGGTGGTGTTGTGTAAAGAAATTGTAGGGGTTAATTAACCTGTAGAATGAATCATAAACTCCATACATTTGTTTTAATGCAGTTAGTAATCTTCAATGCACTTTTATTCTTTATCTGTACATGTAGACATGAAAACAAGCAGTGAGGTAAACAATGATTTTGAATTGCATACTAATTGATCATTATTAAGGAGAAATTATAGATACTTACCACCCTTTAAGGGTTGATAACTTCTAGATTAAACCATAAACTCCATGCGTTTGGTTTAATGTAATCGATAATCGTAAAAAAAAACTACTCTTTAAACTATGGCAGTCAGATAGACACGAAAACTTAGCAATTTAGGTTAAAAAAATTATATTGAATAACATACTGATTAAACTATCTCTATTTTAACACTGGTATGAAAAACATTATGGCAAGAGTATGATGCTCATCAAAGGACAGCCACAACTGATACTTTAAACGGGTTCTTCATGCTAAACGTTGTTGTGAAGTTCTTATCCTAATTAAGACAATTTAAGAGATCTTTCTTCTATAGCGTTACTATTAAGCACTTAAGAAAAAAAAATCACAGAAGAGTTTAAACTACCATGCAAGACTTTTTCGATCTCGCAACGATTCAAGATTAGGACTTAAGAAAAATCAACTCTCCATATATTTGCTTATCTATAGTCTCATCATTGCATCTCCTAATTACTATTGATAAAAAGTATCGCTTGTTTACATTCACTTAATGTAGATATGTACTAAATAAATTGTAAAGAAATGCTGATTAAAACCAGGCGGTTAATTGCTTGTCAACAATCAAGAATGAAACAAATAACTGTGAATATATCACCTTCAAACTATTTCTAGCAGTTTGAATTAAAGGCCATAAAGGTTTGTTCCTACCAAAGGTATACATACTACACTTTTGAAGAGGTCATTTCTGTAATGACTAGTCTATTTTGGAACCAAATTGCGAACTCTCTGAAGAATTTCGTTAGCTAGTCTCAGAGCCTCACGAGCGTCCTCGTCTGAGTAAACATCTTTTGGAATCTGAGGATAGCACATTCGATCTGGGTAGCGCATGTGTGTTGAATCGACCAATCGGCGCTCCAGCTGGGTTGCAAGTTCCAACAGTTCGGAATCGTTCAGCCGAGAGGCATTTTGACTGAGATCGTGACGATTTATCTTGAATGCATCATCAGCATATTGCGCTGCTTTCAGAGCCTTCTCGGCACTCTAAAGAAAGGAAATCAAAACATTATATCTCAATTAGAAATATCACCCACTTCAAAAATACCTTTCTGAGGGATTTTGTTTTTAAAAAACCCAGATATCCCCGAAAAATATTTCTTTCTTTTTGAAGGAGGTGCGTTGGGAGTATGTAGTTCGTTTATTTTTTTGTTTTGTTTACCTCACATCTTTCTACTTTTAGAAAAAACTATACCAAAGAGAAATTTAAATTCTCAAGCCTGTTTCTGATTCCGCACCACTGTTCCGGAGTTGGAACCCTTCTTGTTTATTACCTTACTTCATTATTATTTACGGTTATTTTCAAGACTGTAAGTAACAATTCAGTAAAATAATGAAAATACATCCTTTCACCTGGTGACATTTAAAGCACGCCCACTCATAAGATGGGTTTCCAGTGGATAAGTCATTGCTGGCAGCTCCCCAATCAGCCTCGGCTTGCCTAAGCCATCGCCTAGCCTCGCAAGGCTGAGGATTCTTCGTACAAAAACTTGGAGGAACACCAGAAGATGAATCGCTTCCAAAGACCTCATCACAGGAGCCATACATTTCTCGAAAGTTTGTTCTGTATTTTACGCGATGCGTATGTTGACGCTTGGCGCGTACTTTCCAGAAATAAAAAAACGGCTCGTAGAAACTTTGGCCATCTTTTTCGTCGCCCTGGACACTTTCTAACCTTGCTATTTCTTTCTGGATGTGCTGTAAAACTTCGTCACACAATGTTTTGTCTCCAGATTTTTTGTCTGGATGCCACCTAAGGAAAAGTCGTTTGACAATTTTCCTACGCCTTTTTTCAGGTAGTCGCCATGCTTCCACCAGGATCTCTGAGGCCTGCTTAAAAATCATCTGTTTGTCAGTTGTTTTACCTTTCTCCAGCCCATCGGACAAGCCTAGTGGGGAGGATTGGAGACGGTGAAATTTGTACAAGTCTGCAAACTCGACTTCTTGAGGTTCTTTGTCTTTACCTACGTTGACCTTGTAAAACTTTGAAAGGAGGCTTGCATCTTCCTGAGCATTTACTTCTTCTACTATCACGGCGTAAATGAAAGTTGCATCTCCTTCCTTTTGTTGCATACTTGGATCCTCTATTTCATAACCAACATACTCCCCAGGTGTGACCTTCTCAAAATCTTCGTTCAACAGATGGTGGTCCTCTATTGGGATAAAACTTCCGGGGATTGGTACAGGATTACTCCTTGACTCGTATGAATCGTCTTGCCCAATGCTCGCCTCATCCAACATGGACCAAATCTCACTAGGATGGATGCGTAACATCTCTTGAATAAACATCACTGCTTCTCCCAGCAATCCTTCACATACTTCAGCAATGACTTGAGTTACGGCCAAATATAATTTAGAGAGGTTTTCATCTACATCAGGTCTAAGATAGACCTTCCAAATGCTTTTGCCTGCTGGTGCTGAAACCTTACCTACGAAGTACGAAACTTCACCTTCGCTATCAGGAATGAGATTACCTTGGTAAACCAGTTTTGTTTTAATTTTGTTTAGTCCAAGGAATTCAATGCTCCTTAGTCTGTCGTTGATGGAAGCGAAAACATCTTCATTAGGAACTTCATTTTCTTTGTTCTCATGTCGAATAAGTCTCACAATTCCTCGAAAGAATTGTTCCGAGCAAAGCTGTCTTTCCAATGAATCTGCATTTTGAAGCTTAGCTGCAAATTCACTTCCTTCTGAAGAGTCAGTAAATTCCTCCGTAACCACTTGAGATAGCATCTGGGGTCGAACAGCAGATGGAAGGCGCATGAGAAGGTCTTTGTAGTTTACAGATGAGCTACTTTTTACCCCTACCTTCCTTACGTCAACAACAAATAGCTGATTGAATTTTTTTAACCGAGGATGAAAATGTGGAGAATCATCAAATAACAACTCAGAAGACTTGTGCAGAGAAACTGGAGGCGAATCTGTTGGGCTGCTAGTGAGTTTCATTGCTGGTAAGTAGAGTTGTTTGAAGCCTATTTCTGGGTTTGTATCCTCTCGCAGGCCTTCTAGTAGTCCTCGTAGAGCGCCTAACGCGCTATTGATCTCGTCGGGAAGCAGTTTATTACCCTGACTCTGCTTCTGTAGCATTTCCAAAACCATGGCGTAGTGTGACATTGTGGCAAATTTGGAACAGCCCAGAAGATGAAACAGGTTATGAAACTCTCCAAGATCAGGTGGTACTCGATAAAGAAACGGTTTTATTTCAAGGCTCTCAACCATTTCTAGGACTACTTGCTCAGCTCTGACAAAGCGTGCTCCCTCTTCAACCACAATACAAGGGACATTTTGCAGGTCTGCTATTACCTCCTTGCTCAAAATGACCCTCTCTTGGAAAAATTTGTAGATTTTTTTCATGACGGACTTCCTTATGCTGCACTGCTCATCTGAGACGTTGCTGCCATTTTCTTCAAAAAGTTGATAGGAAATATTGCGACAGTGAGATGTAACTGTTTCTAAGGATGGCTCTGTTAGGACTTTGAGATGCTCAAGGATTTTGACGCAGAATGCTTCTCTGGACATCAAGGAGGGAATCTTTAAATCTGATTGCTCTTGTGGATGTGCCCACTTTGGGAGGGGGTGAGCCGATGTCCAAACACACTCAGTATGATCAGAAACAACAGTGTCCTGAAATGCAGTATATGGTAGTGTTCCATTCTCTCTTTGCCCATGTTGCCTGTGTAAAGCCTGGAGCTTACTACAGACTGGATCTAACATCACAAAATCAATACTGCGAACAGCTTCAAGAAGCCCCCCATTTAGCAAATCGGAGCGACTTAGCAATTCAGACACCAAAAGTTTTGACTGTTTATCTGTCTCTGTAGAGCGCTGTTTTGCTGCGTCACTTGCAACTTTCTTAGCAAATCCCTTGAAATCGTCTGGGTAAACTTGATGTTTCAGGCCAATTTTTCTCAAAAACTTCAACCATGCTGTAGAGTTCAGCGGTTCAGGTGGAAACTTATGCTCTGGAAGCATGACCCTGAAAATCTTATTTAGCGGATCGTAGAAGGATGATGCCTTTTCCAGCATTCCTTTTTGTGTGGTAATCACTGCTGTGGTTTTCAGGCTTTCCATTAGCTTCTGCTTGTCCCCATTGCTTTCTGACAAACTTGGTAGCAACTTGTCTTTAATATACTCAAGATGGGTCTGTCTAGCTTCTTTGGTAAGCGCACTGAAATGTGGCAACACAAACGCGCGATAGACGTCTACAGGTCCAGGAGAATCAAATGCGAGAAAACGGTACAATTCTGATAACTCTGGAACGTCCTCTAGAAACACCATATTGTCTTCTTTGTGAACAGCATCCAACCCTATTTGTGGTATTTCAGATGATAGGACTGTAACTTGTTTATCTGCAAGGCTGATCATGTCACCAGTTGTTGACGGATAAAAGGGAAGCCTTCGTAGTGTGGACGTCTGTAGGCGCGGATTGCCTAGTATTCTGTCGTTGAAGTACCGCAGGATCGTTAGACAGTTACCACGTTCCAGTGCTCCTATTTGAAAACATTGGTTCGAGCTCAATTTGTGGTAAAGGGATGCAAGAAGTGATGCTGGATTCTCCAAGGACCCTACGACTCTCTTGGCCAAGGTGTATGAATCTGAAAACAATGGCGGAGGCTTGTTTAAGGGAGAGAATACAGCGGAGTTTAACTCAAAAAGACCTACCGCTCTGATAGCTTTTACTAAAGGTGCCCTTTGCTGCTGATCACTTTCTGTGAATGCCAAAACACAATTTGCTAAGTGAACTGGAACAAGAACATTTCGTTTGCAGATATCTTGGACTGCTGCATCCACGGCTGTTGATAAAACAACTTGCTCAGTTGCAGGGATTATGCTCCAGTTAGATAGAGGCATGGTAACAGTATCCGTGTTGTGGTTGGTGCTTTTCCATGACTCAGCCAAAAAGCTCCACACTCTGAAAGTCCAACGATGATTTGGCTCCGTAGGATGTTCTGGGGACCACATATTGATTTCACATGCTCCCAAATGTTGCAGTGAGCGTGTTCTTTGCAAGTGCTTTGAAAAAGCGTGAACATCAAAGGCCATGAAGACAGATGCCCTCTGAATCATCCAATTACATTCAGGAAAAATGTCGCACAAAAGTTGTTTATGGACGAACATGTCCTTTGACTGTGGCAAAATGTCGTGATAGTGGGAAAGGTACTTGCGATCTTTTGTGCTAAACATACGAAGGAAGTTGTCTTGTGTAAGTAACAATGGGAGGCCAGGAAGATGATCCAAGAAATTTCTGAGGTCCTTGCAGTACCGTAGCGTTAGCGTCACACCTTCGCTGTTCTTGAATGGAGTTTTTGTAACGTCAACAGGTAAAGATGTTACATTGGTAAGCGGAGTCTTGTAGAACTCAGTGACAGAGCAAGGGGAAGTACGGTAGCATTTAACCTTAGAATGCTCAAACGCTTCTAAAATTTTCAAGGAAAGATGCAAAAGATTAAAGCCTGTTTGAAGCAGTATTGACTCGAATGAGGCCCTCTGGATGGCAAGTAGTTCCTTTCTGACTTCATTCTCTTCTTTACCTGGCGGAGTAGAATAACATCCCTTGATGTGGATGTCGTTAAAATAGGCTTTATCGCTTCCAGTGCCACACGGAGGAAACCAAGTAAGTTCGAAACTGTTAACTTTGCCATCTGGAGCATCTCTTACCACTGGAAGATAGCGTAAGCTTTTTGCATCCATTCCTTGATACACAGCGCTGATCAGCATAGCCCAATATGGAATGGTAGAGGTGCGAGGAAACAGCTTCTCGAATCTGTTCACCTTCTGGAATAATTCATCTTTACTACAACTCAGACTAAACTTTGAACTCAAAGGCGAAGCTGGGAGGTGAAGAAAGTTTCTAACCTCGTCTAAAAGTGTTAAGTAGCACGACGCTATAACATCGCTCAGCAAAATGTTGTTCCAGTCACTACGATAACCACCGTCCTCATCTCTCCACAAGTTTCTTCTAGCCTCGTGGTCCAATGCAAAATGACCATTAATGTGGACAGGGAGATCTGTTTCCAGTGGAAGTGGAAGAAAGCAATAAGCTCTCTTTTTCCTCTTTTTAGGTTTCATGGACTCGGTTTCTATGAGACAGGCACAGCCACCTCGCGGAAGCATTCCAAGGTCACGATTTCGAAAGGCATCGACTATACTCGTTTTAACTTCTTGCTCGAAACCCATTTGTTGAACAATTAACCACTTTTCCTCATTTCCGAGGCTGTCTCTTAAGAGGAGGACGTAGCTGCACTTCTCCACCCCAACGTTGCTGAACGAGACGTCATCTTTCTGCCTTATTGACTTCCCAACCTGTCTGACGTGGTTCGCAAACCGCTGTCTCTTAGCTGCATCGTTCTCGGAGATGACTGCTTCCACTGAGTAGCAGTTAGTTACATTGCCAGTTTCCTCATCTATGTCACACAACGTTATTTTCTTCACACTGTTAACAAAAACTAGAACTTCAAAAAGCTCTTCCTTGAGAGACTCCATCATGTCATTCAATGCTTCTAGCGTAAATGGAGTGGATGACAAATCCGACATATCAGCCATTTCTTGAGTTCTTAGGGGAAATCTGAACATAGTTGAATTTTCAATGGGAAACTTTTCTTCAAGATAGCAGTGGAACACATCTGGAAAGTATTCCTTCAACTTTGAGGTTTGTGTGTACATTCGCCCAGGTTCTTGAGGATTGGCGCCAGGAACGTAGTGACAATTTGGATCAAATACACACAAAACATCATTGTCGTCAATTTTGGACATAAATGAGGGGATGTCGGTCAGGTGGTAGACAGCGTTGAAACCCACGCCATACTGGCCTGTTTTGTGTGGATCACCTCCTTTATTACCCTCCCCGAGGTTTTGTATGCCCTCAATATCAGAATGAGTGAACGGCTTGTTGTTGTATACGCATAACGCTGGTCCTTGAAACGGTTCCCAACTTTCATCAAACAATTGGTTCTTTGGATGATTACGGGGGTCCTTTATAAAACAGATCTCAGTTGCTTGTGCGTCATCTGCATTCTGGAGAAGTTCTTTCAAAAGTCCTTTTCCACAAGGATAGCCTGTGAGAATTCTCTTTAGACGATTTGTCAGTTTCTCCTTTTGTCCAAACGAAATTCCAAAGGCACGATCTCGTACTGCCTCTTCTTTGAGTGTTTTGACCCCCAATGCAAGACTTGTTGGCCATGGAATATCTGAATGAACAAACTGGAAACCAGGGCCGCCAGGAATCCATGGGCAGTCTTTAATGCAAAGCTCACTTACAGGTCGCATTTCTCCCTTCTGGTTAGGAAGATAAATGGAACTCCTCTTTTGTTCTGTTGTGCAATGAGCTCCGCGAGTTTCCAGCGCTTCTCTTAGTTGAGTTGCTAGGGTGCAGACAACAACCAACGTGTTACTATCCACCTTCTGCTCTCCACATTCCTGCTTGATCTGTTGAAGTGCAGATATAAAATCTTCCACCTGAAACTGATCTCTTACACCAACTTCTTTCATGAGCTTTGAGTACCTGACCAATTCCTCAGGGATCTTGTACAAATACGGAGAGCAGTCCGCAGGTAGCGACAACGAAACTTGATTTCCACGTACAAACCCGTTTCCAACAAGTACGAACTTTCTTTCTTCAAAACACTTAGCTATTTGATCTGCATGGATCGGAAGTACATCTTCAAGGAAGCTGTAACATGCATTACAAACGTTAATCACATCTTCCATACCACAGACTTCAAATTTGGTGGAGATGGCCTCATTTAACTGGATTATAACTTGTTCCGTTGTGACCTCTCGGTTATCGAACTCAAGTAGTCGTTCCACGTTTCGTGGTATATTAGCGTCTATGATTGGTGCAGAAGAGCACGCGAGGTACAAGTTTTTCCTTAAAAAGCCTTGAGTTGGTGATACCAATGCAAGTTCATTCCCGTGAATCATTTCATCGCCTTTCCATGCCAGGGGAAAGGTGTGAGGCTTGGCAAGAACTGGAAGAAATTTGGTTCTTAAAAGGCGTTGCGTCTCAGTGGTCGAAGGAAGGCAACTTCCATCATGTTTATACTTTTTTTCGAGAAACTCTACGAGCCATCTCACCCTCTCCAATGCAGCCTTGCTACAAGTTTGGCTCAGACTTAGGACAGATTCTGCCCTTTCTACAAGTTCAGACCAAGGAAGATCGTCTGTTAACATTCCTAGCTGCTCCAGTTGATGAAGGTGAAGAGGGTGCCTGAATGTTTCTTCCGGAAACCTTTCATCTTTGGGAGAAAATAGAAACGCTGCAGATCTATTAGGATGAATAAGCTGAGAGGGGCATTTTAGCTTATGACGATCTGGTGATACTGGAATGCAAGCATAGGTTTTCATTGCATCGCTGAACTCCTTTCTTTGAGGATCAAGGGCATACAGGACCAAGTTGTCCCTCGAGTCAGGGGGCACTAAACCAATCTTTGGGAAGAACAATTCCAAGAAGAACCTTCTCTCATCGTAGCTTCGGGAGTGGATTTTTTCTTTAAGACCATACTTCTTAAATGAGTAAAACACATTTCTGGGTAGATCAATTACAGCTGCATTATCTTCAACCAACAATTTGAACACTTCGAAGCATAAGTCTCCTATTTGAGAATCCTCCCGTAGGTCTGGAGTTAGGAAGACAGTTTCATTGATGGCCATCCAACTCGTGCCATCCGAAAAAACAGCTTTATTGCCTAATAAAAGATCTTCATAGAATGTACGTGCAAGGGGCTCACAAGTTGAAATTACTTCGTTGCATTTTGGCCACAGTGTGTGGTATTGGTATGCGTTGTTTGGGAACTGTGAAATAGACTTTAAGTCTTCAAGAAGGTCAAAATACGCAGTGCAAACGCAATCTTTTAAAAGTACTTCATTCCACTCTTGTCCAAAGCTAGCCTTATCGTCTTCGGTTTTCACCAGCAAGTTTCGTCTGTTTGAGGAAACTGCAAACGTTCCATTTATGTGTACAGGTAGTCCACTACAAATTGGAAGTGGGAGATAACAAAAAACACTGGCATTTGCATTCGAACCTTTGGTTTCATCGGAAAAAGGGACTGGAATCAGAGAATCTTGAGTTGATAACTTAACACCTACCCCCGCTGATGCAAGAAGACTCCTGTCTTCCTTTGAAAATGGCATTGCTTCACCTTTGCCCATAGATGAGACAACGAGCCAAGTGTCATCATTACCCGAAACGCTATATTCCAAGAACCTGTTGCCGTATTCCGATACGGTGCTCTTGATCTTCAGTGTGAGCGCGGAATTAAGGAGAGCAGCAGCGGACTCCTTGTTTTCATGGTTTGGATTGTTGACTTCAGATGATGCACGCAGAAAATTACACTGTTTCAACAAGTACTGATCTTCTGTGCACAGCTTCGTGGCAGTATTTGGGAGAGTAATTGTATAAGGCAGTTCCCGACTGACCCCAGCCTGTGATAATGATTTGGTGACCTCAAATATCTTCCTGGGCTCTAACTGGTCAGTTAATTCATTAGGTAAATGGAAGATGCTGACTTGACGAACATTTTGAGTAAACAGAAGCAATGCTTCGGCTCCTTGATTGACACGTTTCAACAGCTCCTGAACTTGCTCCCGGTTGTAAACAAGTTTCTTTATTTCACTTTGTATAGCCTGATGTTCAGTTCGTAAGGGAAAGCGAAATAGCGTCCCTTTGTACGAGTTGTCGTCTTGGTTGAGATAAAGATCACAACCAAAGATACCATTGAATGGCTTGAATTGATTTCGAAACTTTCGCAGCTTTTTTGCATTTTTGTTAGTATCAAGCTTTATTCCCGGCTTAGTCTTGTTCCTGATTTGTTTCCCTAGATAGAACGTGTTGGGATCAAGAATAACAAAATGATTACGGCTCACAAACATGGGGACATCCGTCAGGTTGTATACTGCATTGAAACCCAGTCCAAATTTTCCAATCTTTTCAGTATCGTTCTCTTTCGTTGCACCGTTCAATTTTGTTATGTTCTCAAAATCCTCATCCTTGAATTCGGCATCATTGTACGCCCACAGTGCTGGACCCTGACAGTGTTTCATTCCTTCGTCAATCAGGCCGGGTATCGCATCCTCATTAGTTCGCTCATCATACAAAAAGCGAACCTCTGTGGCGCCAGCATCATCTGCATTCTGAATAAGCTCTTTGGGTACCGCAAATCCATCGGTGTATTCCTCCAGCAGTCTATTTAGCCTTCGCGTGAGCTTCTCCTCCTGTCCGAACTCTTCCCCCAACGCTAGTTCGTCTGGATCTAGTAGGCAGTTACTGAGGCTTCGCACATTAAAAAGCTCTGCTGTTCCTGTTGGGATGTTTGGATGCACTAGTAAAAATTCCATCTCGTCATCCTCACTTTCTGCTTCTGATCCGTCATGTTCACCATACATGCATTTTTCTACTGGTGCAAGGTCAACACGTGCATCTCCTTTTACGTAGGTTGGCAAAAGAATTTTCTCTTGAACTTCAGGTGATAATTGTCGATTATTATCTGGCTTCAATTCATTCAGGATGGAAATGCATAAAGCCAGATCTTTTTTCACGTCTGATGTTTCATAGGGACCCTGGTCGTACTTTTGTTTAATCATGGAAAGAACATCAAGCATCAAGTGCTCACTGCAGTCTTTGTGAATGCCAAAAGAGCTGAACAGATAAGAGTACATGTACATCTCTGAGGGAAGAACAGAAATGTACGGTGACAGATCGATGGAATGGTTGTTCAGGACGACAGCGTTAGGAAAGGAGAATCCGTCGCCGTTCCAAATCCAACCAGTGTCTTTCAAACCCTTTATTGCTTCCACGACATCACTCCTGTTCTCCTTAATCAGAAATTCATAAATTTCTTTGGCAAGCAAACTGAATCGCGGTCTTTCTTCTTTGTTATAGTGGTTGATGGCGGTTTCTAAGTGATTAACGACGTTAGATACTTGTGGTTTCTCGTTCCACTCAAAGTAACTGGATAGCTGACTTGACTGGTCCACGTCAATGATGGGTTGTACTGAACCAATGAGGTTGAGATGCTCCCTACCCTTGACGTCCTTCGGCCTGCATAACATTCCACTATTAGCTTTACCCCAAAAAGGAACGCATTTAGGAAAATCACTGGGCTTTTCTTCCAGTGCTGTCACCCACGAAATACCTTCAAGCAGAGAACCCAGTGTTTTACCGGAAAGTGTATTCTCGAGTATGAGCGGATTTTTGCTAAACTATTCCATAAGTGCGTGAGACTTTTTCTTTGCTGTTGAAAGGCTTGTGTGGTTCTCGATCTTAACGGCACTCTGGTAAAGGTCTTGGGCGGTGATCATTTCATCGGTTTTCATGCCAATTTCCTTTAGAATGGCGAGGACTGATAAGTCAGTATATTGGCTTCTTACTGGGAAAACGTCTTCCTCAGCAAAAAGGGCCTTTGTCAGGTCACTTTGGGGATCAAACAGATCTGAAGCTTTCACTCTTCCAGTGTTATTTGGCACAAAGTGTAACTCTTTCATCTTTTCTTCAAAATTGCTATCCTCTCTTACAAGAAGTTTATATCGCTCCATAAGAAACGAGATTAGGCCGTCAATCTCCTCTCCCGAGTAATGCCCGTGGTTGATGTCGGGAAGAATATTTTCACAAAGCAACTCAGTCATTGTTAAAATTCTGACGTCAAGAAGTCGCGCTAGCTTCTTTGAATCTTCCTCTCTAATGTTAATGAGCTCTCTTTGAGGAGTAATCGGAGGCATTTCCTCTGGTGCTGCAAAAAGGTAATCATTCTTTGCCACAAACCTATTAGAGAAAGTCTCAAAAATTGGGAGCTTAGAAATAAATTTCTTGTCTTTTTTTTGAAATGATGAAACTTTCGTGACGAATTTCCTAAAGGAGCGTTTAGAGGCATCATTCACCTTGCCTAGCATGATTGCAGAAAACATTCCCTCGCTCAACAAAGAGGAAGAATCTATCATGGCTTGTAGGACGCCTGAGATCGAAGGCGGATGGACAAATGTCCATGTTAACTCCGGATGGAGTTTTATAGGACACTCGCGCATTACCACCACACCCAGCTCTATCAATGCGTTCACTACAGCACCATCAAGGTGGTCATCGTTGAGGCTTTCTGCAACAACTTTAGACGCTTTCTTCAGTGAAACTAAGGTCACAGGGACTTGCTGGAGATCTACAGGGATCAAAGGGAGCTTGTATGCACCAAGGCTGGCGAGTTCATCCCTAGTGGAATAATTTTCTCTTATGTAGCGCCAGACACCACTGAGCCAATCTCTGTGGGGATGGCTATACTTTTGATCGTCGGGGTACCACAGAACCTTGTCAGTGGCGAGCAATTCTTGAGGTAGGGCTTCCCTTATTAGAGAAGGTACATCTTCTTTGCGAAAAAGTCGTAACTGAGTGCATCCTGTTTGAAAATTACAGACAGAAGTTTAAGGGTTCTAAGAAACTCGCCTTTCAAAATTATAAGGCAATTGTAGCTCTGAAAAGTCCCCTCCAGTTGTCTTCGCATCTATTTGGGTCTGACTGTGTAGGTGTGTGTGTGTGTGTGTTAGTTTGAGTATTAATGTTTTTTGTGGCGGTATTAAATAGAAAATTCAGCGCTTAGTAAAAATAAAATTTTCAGGTACAATCTTCAAATTATCTTTAAATCTGCATGAATGAACCGATTTTTAAAATGTAGACATCAAAGTGAGTTCCGTATTACTTTAAACAGGTTTTCCAACCCAACGAATATATGAAATACATATATCTGTACTTCGGTTGTGAAACGTATATGTGCACATAAACAGGTTTTCGTTTACAACTTCAACCTAATATGCCATTACATGGAGATTCATACCGTTTTCAGCTGCAGCTTTAAGTTTTCCTAAAATTCTCTCATGAATATCTTGATCAAGAAATCTGCCCTTTAGGCCAGGCACCAGCTCTTGGGAATGCTCGGGCGAGGCGATGAAAACTGCTTCGCTGGAGCTTGTAAAGGATTTGAAGGTCCCGTCAGACACAGGCAAGAGTTCAAGGTCAACCAACTCTTGAAAGTTGTCATCTTCGAGGACAAAGCTTAAAAGGCACAACTTTTCCTTGCAGCTGAGACTTTTGTAGCAAGCAGGGATTTCCTTGAAGATTCTGCGCATCAAGTAGGGTGTGACTTCTGAAGAGAAAGCTGCATACTGGTCTATGGCGCTTACTACGTGGTCAGGCAAAGAGGTAACATTCCGATTTGCTAGAAGGAGAACCCGCACGATCAGCTCTCTCATCCGCTCTTCTTTAATTCGGTTAGGTATAGCTTCATCAACCTTCAGCCAGTGCCCCCCACTGGCAAGAGTGTATATTACTTTTTCAGTAATCAATGATTGGAACAAGGGATTCTGAAGTCTTTTCCAAGCTGGTTCCACGTTGTCGCAATTTGGCCAAGCCCTGTGAGAAAATAGAGCAGAAATCTCAGTTTTCAGCATGAAACGTCAACCCTATAGAAGCAGTACAATGGTGCTTTGGGAAGCTTATAATAGAAATTAGCTACCCAAAATACACGTTTACATGTTTACTATGATGTCAATTGGACAATGGGCCGCACAATTTGACACCAGTTACAACAAGAATCTAAAATGTACCGTATTTGAATGGTTTGCATGATTGAAAACTTAGGGAGAAAATTGATTATTTTGTGACCCATTAGCGCGACCAAAATACGGGTCTAGAATTATATTGGGCGTTTCTGACCGGACCCGTCCTTGACTATCCTCCCAACAGCTGGAAGAAGTTGAACTTTCAATTTTCCGGGTGAAATTGTTGTTTTGCTTCCTTAGAAAATTAAGGTTTACTTTACCATTTCAGCGGCCCCTTTAAACCTTTACTACTGAATTATCTGAAAGTATCGAATACGTTCTTACTGCTTCTTTAGTTAACACAGCACTAATTATGCTACCGTTCAAGACTTACCTGTAAATTGCATCTGGTGGAACATTATAGCTCCTTTGATCAGTGGCCTCCTTTATCAATGTGGAGTACGCTTGAGGTAGAACTTCTTCTATAAGGCAGGTGTTCCATAACAAAGACTTGTCAGTTAGTTTCTCTCGATCCTCTTGATCTGCATTTGGTGTCTTTATGTGTCGTCTGTTCTGACTTAATGAAAAAAACCCATTCACATGCACAGGAAGACCAGTTAAGCTCTTTTTCTGCAACGGCAAAGGGAGAGCGCAAAACACGTGGCCTTGGATGTTGGGCGATTCTGAAGTGGACTCTGAAGGAATTGCCATTGCTACGCCGACTGAAGGTAGATAACTTAGCTCTTTGTCTGTCAGAAGCTTTTCGAACTTGGACGAGACCTCTCCTCCGCTGCATAAACTCGTCACGAGAAAAGAATGACGTTCTGTCTTTCCATATGAAGATTGCACTACCATTGTAATTGGATATGTCACTGTCACAGGTTCTGCCATGCGCTCTCCAGGTTTAATCGCATTGTAGAACTCTTTTCTCTTCTCACGAACGAATGCAAGATTTTCATGACTGATTTGAACTTGGAATACTTTTCTTGGCTCGGATTCTGACTCCTCTCGGACGAAAAGTTCTACAGATTCTAAGTGTCGAAGAAACAGGAGCACAAGGTGCGCATCGGTGAAAAAACTCTTAAACAGATGATCCACTTTTTCGTCGGAGTACAATGTTTGGGACAGCTCAGATGGCTTGGTACGTAACGGAAAGCGGAACAACGTTCCTCTGTAACATCCCTCAGAAAAGACTTCCTCGGTGCAATCAAATATTCCTTTGTAGGGAAGAAATTGATCAGGTATTGCGTTCATATTTTCACTGCTTTTGCGTAGGTGCCAACGGTATCCCGTTCTCCTTTCTCTTGGTCCTTTATTGAAGTGATCCTCGTGGGGGTCGATAAAACCAATTTTTGTGCCGCTAAGGATACTTGGTAAGTCTGTGAAAAACAGAAAATTTCCCAGTTCTATTATTCTATAGTTTAGGTTCCTATGTCCAGTTGTAGACTTCCCAGCACTTCTTTGGCCATCAAAAGAGGGGAAAATGGGCTATTTCATTTCCTGGAGTTTCACAATCAAACTACTATTTAGAACAGTCTGATGCGTGTGGGTATAAATAAAACTTGTCATTTATTTGGAAATCGGCCAGCTCAATAAAAACTATACATTCCATACGGATTCCGTTCGGTTTAATAGTAACTAACTCTTTTCCAAACTGAGGGCCGGGATGTTATTTCGACAGATCCAATGGGACCCTTACCTGTCAGATGAAAGACAGACTTGAAACCTAGGCCAAACCGACCAACTTTCATTGGATCCTTGACTTTGACGCTGTCGCTAAGCATTCGTATGCCTCTCCAATCGTCTTTAGTGAACTTTGCATCATTGTTTGCATAAAGTGCAGGCCCCTTTAGAACAATAGATTAGTAGCATTTATATAGCATTGATTGACAGTTGCAACACAAAATATAAATTGAACTCATTAGCCACGATTGAGAAGGCAAGTTAATTTTTCAATTTTTTGTACAAAGAATCGAAATAAATCTCTAATCCCTGTTAGTCATATTATAGAAGGATAAGAAGGAGTGGCCTAATCTGCTTTCCTTAAGCGTCCAAGAGAATTTGTTGAAAGGCCAAAATACAGCATTTTTTCCCGCACGTTCACGCTCATTTGGATTATGACCAATCAGAAGGGTATTACATTATTTACTGGATATATCTTTTTCGGCAGACGGAATAGTAACCAGATTAAATTTTGAAAGTACAAAAGATATACTTCTTGAAACAATCCCTTTACTGGTTTGACTAAGACCAAATAATATGATTGTTTAAGTGGTTAATTGAAATAATTGTAGTTAGACATTAACTAGGTGTGAGGAATGTCTTCTATCTGGAAGTTGTGATTGAAAGGATTTTGTGCTATCACACTTATTAGAAAAGCGCTGTTGACAAATACTTTTGATAAGGAGTGAAATTCTTTCGTCAACGTACCTGAAACTGACTGAGCCCTTTGCTATACAGCTTCTCTTCTCGAGCGCTATAAATATGTTTGTCGTGAAGAAACTTCACGTGGCTTGCACGTGCATCTTCGGCATTTTGAATAAGCTCCTGCAATGAAGCAAATGTATTACCCGTAATTATCAATAACAAAAAACCAGAACAGATAAAGAAATGATTGAAAATGGACTTTATTTGATTAATGAAACGTACAAATAGTAGTAATCAGCAGCATGATCGCAGTATCTTAAGTTGCGTTAAAATTTTAGATTTGGTATTGTTCTATAAATAATTCTTTGTTTGGAAACCTTTCTGAGGTTAGAAAAAACCAATACCTTCAATATCTGTCCATCATCTGGATACTGATCGAGTATTGTTTTTATTTGTTGGAACAGTGATGGCTGGATCAAGTTAAAGTCATCATCCTCGTCGTCGTCCTCGCTGTCATAATCATCATCTACATCCACTGTTAAGAAATGCAATCATGCAATCTTACAACAAGGTGCTTCGTCAGAAAGACCCAAAACCATAATTTCAAAGAAAAAGAAATTAAGAAAAAAAAAGCACTGAAAAGACAGTTGAAGGAATATGTCTCCTAACATGTTCTATCATGGGACGGGATATACCCATCTCAGAAACGTTTTGAAGTATGAGATGTAATACCCTGATCGTGCCCTACAAAAGAGCTTCAAAACAAGCAGTCAAATTCTGGGATCCTGAGGACATTTTTTCAATTCAGAAACACACCATTGCATAATTTACTGTGCTTAGCCGGGTAAGCTAATGAAAAGTTATTGTCAAGCACTATCAAAAACAAGGCATGAAGACCTGAGCAGGATGTACCTTTCCATTTTAGAATACCCATTAAATGTTGACTGGGCACTCCTCTGAATTTTAATGAAGGACACACTGGCCACATGCAAACAGACATGCAAAACTAGACAGTCACTATAATTGTTAATGTCACAAATATCAATCACAGGAATTCAAAAGAGATTTGCAGAGCAAGAAAAAAACCTTGTAGACAAAGTGGAAAATTTAAGTCAGCCAACTACTGATTCCAGATTTCAATTTCATCTTGGAATTGTACGGAGTCAGTAGAGAAACAAAATTAGGCAATTCGAGCAGAGAGAAAATGGCTACCCATAAAATCAGGTAATCAGAAATAAAACCCTCAGTGTCTGCAATGTTTGACTGCAGTCTGTCCAAGAATACTTACTCTTGGGGTGTGGTAAATCTGCTGAGGCCATATGACTGGTTCAACCCTGATAGAGAAATGTGAAGGACCAATTAAGGTCTATTTAGGACTCTAAAATGTGGCTGAGTTGATTTGGAATGGGAGGGAGCATGAAATCTTAATGGAAAAGAGGAGGAAGGTGTAGGGGGGAATGGGTGTTTACTCCTGCTAGGAACCAATGAGTGAGCCTAGTGACCCATTCTATGAAAGCCTATCCTGGTTTCTGTAGCTTTGGATTACTAAGAGAACAAGAAATTAATAAAATTAACTCTTAGAAATGGGATGCAAGTCTATTTCTTGTGTCTGAGGTAGCCCAATTGTGGTGTATGGCCACCTCCTCCCCATTGGTCAGAGGGAGTCAGAATGACTTTTTCAATTTTTTGTCCAATTTGATTTAACATTTCTTTTTATACTGCATACAGTGAAAACATTTGATACATATTATACAGTACTGACATAATAATTTTACTCCTGTTTACAAAACTGAAACTGAAAGTTGACACAGAACTTTTTTTAAGCATCCTTAGTGGGTAAATAATATATTTTAGTCTAACTTTCTGACGGCATCTTCACCTCTTATCGAACCACCTGCTCAAGTGTCCTCACATGTCAATCAACCCAGCCTTTCAGTGACAGTATAATATACTTTGACTTTCAATTTTAAAATTTCTATCTTCTACTTCTATGTTTTTTGAATTTATAACCGAACAATAAAACAAGACAAAGCAAAACAAAAAACAACAATTGCAATAAATCATATTTGATGAAGTTTTTCTAATTTCACTGATACGTAGATATCAACCTAGCTGTTTTGAACCTCATTGTGTGTTTCTAATCTATGCATGGCTGGAAAGATAGCAAAAATTTAATTTTAATTTTAATTTATGCATGGCAGAATTTTAGTGGGTAAGCTGGACTACATTTTTTTAAATGTAGTAGCATGTTTGTAGGATAACTGAGCTAAAAGATATTAAAATAACCTATTTTAAGGGTGAAAGTTTGGAAATAAAATAATTAGCAGTCTTTGAAAAAAGCCCGTCTGCCAAAATGTTTCATTTTTTATGAAAGCTAGACTAAGTCTGTGAGTTCTTCCTGAGGCACAATACTAAAACCTAGAGTTATTCAAACACACAAAAATCTAATTTGAATTCTAAAACATGGCTTTATAGTGATTAGAAAAAGAGGGCTTTAGTTTAACATTACTAGTTTATTACTTAGATATAATTTTGAGTATTGAGTATTTCCGATGAGGAAATACAAAAGCTCACCGAAAAAGCAGTACACAAAAACAGTCAAAACTTCGAGGTTGTGGGCATAAAGCAAGTGTCTCAAGTAACGTGGTAATTGTCAAATAAGAAGCTAAAGAACTGAACAAAATTCTCTCGCGGTTCTTTGCCGCAATTCGCAAAAGCGGTGGCCCCGACTATCAAATCGACTTTAGCCAGCCAAGTATTGGCCACCACGTCACTTTCATGTCTGTCAGGCGACGATGAATTACGCAGCTGGCATTATACATGTATCGAGAGTTTGCCTCCGGGCGAACAAGATGATCTTTCAGGCAATATTTTCACAATCCTAAGATGTAATGTGACGTTAAAGTGTTAATTTAATAGCGTAGCCTCGGGGCCGGTTTTGTGTTAATATAGATGTATGTTTTTAAACACTCGGTGAAATAAATAAGTGCAAATAAGGCCTTCCGTGCACCAGGTATGGGCCTTGAATTCGACATTAAATATATATCATAAGGGGTATATAACTCGTTTTCTAAGAAATGAAAACAAAACTGAAGTTGAAAACTAGTCAGGCGTAAAACTGAATTGGCAGTTTAAATTAATGCCGGATTTCGTGCATTTCATTTCTTCGCTCTGTTATCTGGGTTGTTAACACATAATTCGTTCGAAACAACACCTGACGCCGTTGGTGGATGAGGCCCGAAAAATTGCGAATTTCTGCGTGCGTCATTTCTTCGCTCTGGTAGTATTACTTGCAGATGAAACATCCACCTGAATCGAAACAGCCATTTAAGTTCGTATATTATGTACTCCATTGACAAGCGTAACTATGTTTCACAGTTGCACTGATCTGCTTTCGGCGTGGTGTTTTTAGCACCCAAGTCCGAGCTGCAGTATATTCCTGACTAAAAACCATAATTCTAAGCCATATTCCGTAGTAAACGTACCTTCAAGTAGACATCTATTTCCTCGTACTCGGTTGTGTTCGAGAGTGTGGGTTTCTAAGAATCTTAAGAATCTTAGGTTTCTAAGAATCTTATATTTGCATCGGCAGGTTCACCCGGCAGACGTCACGTGATAAAAAAGGATGCAATGATATACTATATCACGATCGTTGAGCATTCCTTTTCAATGATTCAACGTAAGATTGGTTCATCATAGATCTTTTGAGATTTGTAAAGAACCTTCTACAAATATCTACGATGTCACTTTTCTAGAAAACCGACGCATGACAGTTAAAACAATGCTCGGTTTCTCGGAATTGGAAAGCGTCTTAGAAAATGAATTTCTCGGAATTGGAAAGCGTGTCAGAAAATGAGTTCCTGGAAACTGACAGGTATGATTACAAGCTCTGTCAGAAGGCTGCAATATTCAGTTTCTGGGAATCGTTCAAACAACAACATAATGATTGTTCGATCCTTCGCAGTAAAGCACTATTTAAGCAATAGTGAAAATCAGACCTGAAAAAAATTCAGGCCTGTACGGGATTCGAACCACTGACCTCTGCGATACTAGTGCACCGCTCTACCAATTGAGCTAACAAGCCAACTGGGAGCAGGCCATCAAATTAATTCGACATAAACCCGTAGATGATAATCAAACAACAAACATATGAAATACATATATATGAACTGCGGTTATGAAACGTATATGTGCACGATCCTTCGCAGTAAATAGTGCTTTACTGCGAAGGATCGTGCACATATACGTTTCATAACCGCAGTTCATATATATGTATTTCATATGTTTGTTATAATGATTGTTGTTTAAAAGGGAGGCAGATCAGAGAAACTACGCCAGCAATGAGAACTATTTTCATTAAAATTGGTATCCGACTCATGCATCTATACTTTCTATTATTTACTATTCTCTTTTTTTTCTTTTTTCTTTTTGAAAGTATCCTTGAAAATAGAAGTGAATAAAGGCTGATAGTTTCGAAAGAAACTGTTTGGGGCTGCGTCGGTGGGGGTAACGAAATAATTTGGATATATCAACAAAGTTGAAATGGTAAATTGACCACCGTAACGATTACAAAAGCTGACGCCGAGCGTTAGCCCACAATTCCTCTATTCGCTCCGACGAAGGGCTAACGCTCGAAACGTCAGCTTTTGTAATCGTTACGGTGGCCAATTTACCATTTCAACTTTGTTGATATATCCAAATTATATCCTTGAAAATGCAGTGGCGGATCCAGGGGGAGGGTCCGGGGTGTCCGGAACCTCCCCCCCCCATCAGAGCTGACGCTTACAACTTTGAGACTGAAATTCTTACATCGACAGGATCGTATGTAACATTTTTTAACTGGCTGATTTTTTTAATGAATCCAAGTAAACGGTAAGCGGTCAAGGAATTATAACGTACAACCGCTACTGGTGGGAGGGGGTGGGGGGGGTGTGAGAGACAAGTAATTTGCCTCGGTTGAACAGTCCTCTCTGAACCAAAGTTTGGACCCCCCCCCAATCAAAAATTGGTGGATCCGCCCCTTAAATGTATGAAAATTTAGATGACTCACGGATCCTGTGCACTTTGATCCCCGCATTAGAGAGTTTTCTGTGTGCTTCAAGGAAGGGGGTGCTAAATAAATAGGCGCTGATCAATGATCGGTTTCATGTTTCAGTTCTCTGCGTAATTGGTGCTCTTAACAAAGCGATTAATGTTTAGATTTGTAAAATTTTGACTGGCCCGGTCGGTTTACTTACAATGTACACGCATCTCCCAGTCTCTCGAATTAAAACGACAGAGATGCCTGATTGTCAACGTACGAAAAATCTGAGGTTATTTTGTACAAAGTACGAATAAATTCGGTTCGACCATTCTTAAAAGGAGTGAAAACGTTTTTTTTTATAGAATTAGTAACGGAGTAATCAGCTTCACACTAATCATTTTTACTTCTTTGCCACCCAGAAATCAAATATAAATTTATGATGCGTGAAAAGGAAAGACATTCGCTAGAATAACATAAGAGCACCGATCCAGCTACATTATGTTGCGGGAAGTTCGCCATGTACTGTCACTGTAAAGCTATCTGCATCTTAACGCAATCTTCTCTGACATTTGTTGTGCATTCGGAGAGCGACTTCCGTTTTGTCGAGAGAAGTAACTGATGTCTGACAACCTGAGCGGAAATCATCATCAAGGCCAAGCAGTAGTCATCAGTCGAATGTACCAAGTCCGGTTCGCGTATAACTTGAATCTAGTGATTACTTCCGCTCAGATTGTCGAAACGTCAGTCACTTCAGTCTACCGACAACAGTCCTTTTCAGGACTACCCTTACTCGGACAATCAGACTGCACTATCACATGTTACCCTCGCATTCGTGCCAACTCCGGAAAGTCGCGCTGCAACACTTTTCGGGAACAAGTTGCAGAGAGATTGATTCGCTTCGTGACTTTTAGTACTGTAGTTAAAATCTTTCGCCGAGTGGCTGAATTTTGCCGACTTATCAAGTCGCCATTATCATTTGAATATGTTCCATGATCACGGCAATAGTATGAGTTGCAGGACTCGTTTTAGATGCAGTCCACAGATACATATTTTTCAACAGAGACCTGTCGCAAGCCTTCAAAGTTCGGGTACCTCTTAGCATTTCATCACCATCAAAAGAAAGTGAACTAGATGACTACCGAGAAAAATCATAGGTGTTTTTTCTCTTCCCCCTTCTTGTGGAATTTTGCGAACCTTTCGGATCAGGTTAAAAAATAATTCTTGTAGGTTGTTGTAAAATGGTTATGGCAGGAATGGTCGCTCTATCACACTAAATAATTTCCGTAGACCAATGAATTAATGCTATTTCTGTGAAAACTGACCTACATGTTCAATCCTTCTTGAATTACCGAAAAGTGATCATTTAAACCGCCTTGTTTCAATCGACGGTAATTGTCTGCTGTCAGAGCATTCATCTCCAGAATGTGACAGGTTGGTAAATGAAATCGTGCTGGAAATGGGAAACTAACAGATTTCTCGAGAATGGTAGAAATAAGCTATATATTTACTAGGCCAAATGGCCCACCCTAGAACCACTTCAAGCGCCAGAAAATGCAATTCTAATCTGTTTATTATCAGTCTTACAGTTTTCACGTGTCCCTTTTAACGAATTGTAATTGCAAGGAGTACGCACTCTAACTTAATTGTACTGTTTGGGCATAAAAATATTAAGTTTACAACACTGTTGAAAGGCGTTCATAAATGAACCTGCATGGATCCACGGACTTTAAATAGCTGTACTGGAATTTCTACTGGGGTCTTGCGTAAAAGTGTTAGAAAGTCTACTCGAGTCTAAGAATATACTGATTCATATTTAAACAGTAATTACAGAGCCATTGCACTAAGACTAACTTGAAGCCCGATAACGTGAAAATTGAACTAATGCCATACATAAGGAAACATCAGTTTTTATGATCTGGAAAGACAAGCTTGTTATCAAATGATGTTCTGCAATCACCTTTAATTCCACGCTTTCCAAAAAATTAAAAAAACAAACAATTACCTAATATTGATGCTTGACAGAAAAAAAAACAACGCTGAAACTACAATGAAAAAATACCAATTATCATGATATCGCTGTTGTTCGTTCATCGCTTACTTAAATGTGTGTATTATATCCTATCTGCCTAATTTTGTAGGCCATCGCTGGAACAAAGAAACTATTATAACGCAAGTATGACTAATCTTTATCGTTTTACTGAGTGTAAGCATTTAAAATTTGAAATCTCTTCAAAACGTCTTTGTAATTGGATGGAAAGAGTAGGTCCTCCTGCAAAGAAATACAAGGAGTTACAAAAGTTACGGTTATACGACAAAGTCAAGGTGTCTTCCTTCTATACGAGATTTTGATACAATTTTTTAACGATTGGAAATCAGTTATTAATAGGTCATTACCTTCTGAGCATTAATCTATGCATATGAACGTATCGTCTAGTTTCTGATCATCGGTATTGTTAGAACGACCCAATATTACCGAGTGATCGACTGACTTACGTACCTCACTGAGTCTCACAGCCTATAACATCACAGCAAAACAGACCAATCGGTTCACACGATCCAGTGTTACAACAGTCACTGATAACAACTCATCACTCCTTTATAATGATGACTTTCGTTCAGGTTGTCGAAACGTCAGACGACTACCGTCAACAGTCTTTCTCAGGACTACTCTCACCCGGACGATCTCACTACATGATCAAATATTACTCCTGGGTTCAATATGTTTAACGTAAAATGTGCAAAGATATATTTGATTTTTTCCCTCTCTAACAGCAGAAAATACGTGAAAAAAGAAAAAAAAATACACTCTGCCGCATGAATGCCCGCACCTTATTGGACTTTGCCTCTCACATTATCAAGTATCCTGGTGGCTAATCGCAATGCCTCGCAGGCCATTTCGTGAGTGTAAATGTCACTTGGTATGCGAGGACAGCAAACTTGGTCCGGGTAGCGCATGCGTGTTGAGTCACCCAGGAGAGACTCAAGATGACTTGACATCGAAGTCAGATTAGAATCTTTCAGTGCGAGGGAATTTTGCAGCAGGTTGTGAATATTGGTCTTGTTAGAGTCCACAGAATATTGGGCAGCCTTCAATGCTTTCTCTGCAGCCTGAAAAACAAATAACTGTTACATTTACATTCGTTAAATACATATTAAAAACTTTCCTATCGTATTTCTAACACCATTTATTTTTCAAAGCACACTCGATGCTTAAAAGAGTAAGAAAAAAGGAAAATCTGGCGAAATTTGAAACGAAATGTACGAAGACATCTTCATTTCAGACCATTAATTGCCTTCTCTCTGATTTGAAAAGAGTCAAGGAATAATACGGAGAAAAAAAGCACTAATTCAGATTACTAACTTAGAACTTGAATTACTGCAATTATTGCTTCAACCGACAATCCCACTAAAAACGGGTCACTGTAACCAGAAACGACCAAATTGTCGACTAATGAAAGAACGTGCATTTCTCTGATAATCTGGGTTTTTATGTAAATATTTTCAAACCTCATATCTTAATCAATGGGTTTCTTATTTATATGACGGAGAGGAAAGAACTTCAGTTTGTGGCAATACTAGTGATCAAGCTATGAAACCACGAATGATAATCAACCGCATTAAAACTGAGAGTACTTCTATAGAGATTTTCAGTTTGCTCAGTTGCAAAACTTAGAATCTACGCGTAGCACCCTCTCACTGAGCATGAGGCGAGAAAGAGAAAGGCACAATAACGGTGCGAAAAACGAGGGAGGTTTGCTCGGGGCCACGAGCCAACTGGAGACTAGTTCCCTAGATAGGCCTGAACTGAGAGCTCTCGTTAACAAACATCAATGATTAATCAAAGGTACGTATGCCTGTTCACATCTACTATCGTGTGAGGGCATAAACAGCCTGTCTCATTTTTCCACTCCAAAATGTCATTAACTAAAACAATTATGTGAATGCTATATCCAGGCCCTGAGAGTTCATATTTACAACTTGCTGATGAGAGAGTTCTTACTTGGTGGCATTTGAAGCAAGCCCACACATATGACGGTTTTGCACTACTCATGTCGTTATCGACGGCAGCTAAGTCAGCTTCGGCTTGTCTGAACCAGCGCCGTGCCTCTGCTGGCTGGGGATTTGTAGCACAGAAGCTGGGAGGAACATATCCTGACCATGAACTACGACTCCACGACCCATGGTACCTGGCAAAGCTTTCACTGTACTCTTGACGATCTGATTTATATCGCCTTGCACGCGCTCCCCAGCATTGAAAGAAAGCACCATAGGACCCTTGGTAAGTCCAGCCTTGTGGGGTGCATCCTTCGCGTCTACGAGGCTCTCCCTTTTCTACTCTTTCAATTTCACTCATAATGTGTTGAAAAACCTCTGTGCACAGTGCTTCGTTTCCTGGATTCTTGTCTGGGTGCCACTGTAGGATGAGGCGCTTAAAAACCTGTTTCTTCATTTCTTCCGATAGTCCCCAAGCTTCTTCAATCATATTTGAAATTAAGTTTAATATCTGCTCTTTATCCATTGTAGACTGGGGGTCCCCTTGTTGGTCAGACTGAACAATGGCAGAAGGTGCTATTTCTCGAAAACGGTGAAATTGGTATAATTCTGAAGCCTCTACAACTTCTGGTTCCCTCTCGTGCCCAATGTTGATTTTGAAACGTTTAGTCAGAAGGCTGAGACTATCGGTGGTCACTTCTTCAAGAATCACAGCGTAGATGAAGGTAGCATTTCCTTCCTGAAGTTGAAGACTTGGATCATCCAACTCGTAACCAACGTATTCTCCAGGAAGAAAGGATTTAAAAGCAGGATTCAGGAGATTGTGAAGGCTTAGAGGAATGAAGCTACCTGGCTCTGGGAGTAGATTTCCGTTTCCTGCATCATACGAGTCGTCTGAGCGAATCTTAAACTTATCTAGAATGGAGCTTATCATAGTTGGGTCGCAACGAAGTATCTCAGGAATGTAGAAGACGGTATTTCCCAGCAATCCTCTGCACGCTTGAGCAATCACCTCTGAAAGCTTCAATGCTAATGCAGACATGACTACTTCCACGTTCTCGGCAGCATTAATGTATACTTTTAACATCTCTTGACCGCATTCTGAAATTTTTTCCATGAAGAAGGAAACTTCCCGCTGACTCCCTTGGATGACCTGTCCATTATGAACCAGGTGAGTAACAACCTTGTCCATTCCAAAGAATTCAATGTCTTGCAGACTACTCCTCACAGTTGCGACTTCATTTTGATCAAAACCTCCATCTTGATTGGCGTGACGGATGAGCCTAACAATTCCACGATAGAACAGCTCAGAGTTAAATTTATTCTTCAATGAGCCTGCAGCCCCAAATTCGAAAACTGAAGTATCATCATCCTCCACGATTTTCTCTTCGATAACTTCGGACATCATCTGAGGTTGGACAGCGGCGGGAAGACGCTTCACAAGGTCTTTGTAATTTGCATCGGACTTGATGCATACCCCAGCTTTCCTGAGGTCGACAACAAGGGGAAAGTGAAATTTTCGAATTCGATCGTGGTAATATGGGGCGTCATCAAATAGTAGTTCTGTTGATCTCGTCAACACGATAGGTGGTACTTCTTTATCCGCACTGCCACTAAATAGACGGGCAGATGGTAGGTACAGAATAGATATACCATCCGTTTCATCTGGATTGTCTTGAAGCGTTTCGAAGAGACCTTTCACCGCTCTTGAAGCGAGGGCAACCTCATTTGGTTCCAGCATGTTTCCCATCGATTGCCTCTGTAACATATCTAGCACCATGGCGTAGTGACACGGTTTTACAGATGGTGAAGATCCCAAAGATTGGAAGAGCGTTTTAAACGCACTTAACTCTGCGGGCATTACATAAAGAAAGGGTCTTATTTCATCTTTTCTATACAATTCCAGAACTATTTGTTTGGAGCGAACAAAACGACTTCCCTCTTCTACCAAAATACAAGGAGTATCCGCCAGCCTTTCTTTTACAATGGTGTTTGAGATGGCCTTTTTTTGAAGGAACGCGTATATGCCTCTCATTACTGAAATTCTGGTGCATCTCTCCTCTTCCAGCACATCGCGGTAATTTTCTTTTTCCAGCCTAAAGCATACATTTTGACAGTGGACAGTGACCAGATCAAGGGTAGGCTCTGTCAGAACCTGAAGTAAGGTACAGATAGACTTGTAGTAATCATCGGCACTCATCCCACCTGGCACTATAATTACGTACTGGTAGTTCCAAGGATTTGCCCATCGTGGAAGCAGAGATGCTGCGGTCCAGACTATCTCTGCGTGCTCTGCAAACACAGATCCTTTGAATGAAATGTATGGGGTTTGGCCACTCGCCTCACCAAACTGCTGATGCAGCTCGCGAAACTCTTTCTCGACAGGTTCAGTCGCCACAAAGCTAATGTCGCAAACAGCCTGTAGAAGCCCTTCTGCTACTACATTCTGTCGAGTAAAAAGGTGCTTCACCAATACTTTCGATTTTTCATCGGTATCCTTTGAACGTCGTGTAGCTCCTTCCAGAGCGACTTCTCCAGCAAAAATCTTGAAAAGATCTCTCGAAACAACACATGTGAGCCCGAACTTTTCCAAAAACAACAACCAACTTCGTTCGTTAAAAGGTTCTGGGGGGAACATGTCCTTCGCAAGCATAATTTTGAAGACCTCATTACGGGGATCGTAGAAGGAGGATACCTTCCTTAAGCTTCCGTCTTCGCAAGTAATGACCGGTGTGTTTTTCAAACAAGCCAGCAGCCTGCTCTTGTCATTGTCATTGATTGACCTGTTGGGAAGAATATAATGACGGATATGTTCCAGGTGAGCAAACCTTGCCTCTTTACTGAAAATGTCGAAGGATTGCAGAATGAAGGTACAATATACATCAACTAAGGAAATACATTGGAATTGAAGAAATTGAAAAAGAGGAGCCAGTGAAAGACACTCTTCCAGAAAAATGACATTTCTTCCACGTCCAAGAACGTCCATCTCCTTCCGTGGAACATCAAAAGGTATGACCCAAACCGCTGCATTGCTTACACTTATTAGTCCACCGTGAGTTTCTTTGTAGAAGGGAAGCCTTTTCAGCGTAGGTTTGTCACGTTCTGACAACCTTTTCACGCTGTCACTGAAGCACTTCAAAATGATGTGACATTCTGTGACGTTCAATATGTCATCAAATGCATTTGGCTTTTTTTTCAATTTCTGCTCAAAGCATTTGAGGAGAGATTCTGGTGTTTTAAGTGATGCTACGAGCATGCGTGCTAGATAACAAGAATCTGATACCAGTAGAGTATAGTTCATCTCAGCTAAGTTGAGCCGCTTCAAAGCTTCCACAAGAAATTTGCTACTCTCATCGTAACATGCAAAGTCAATCACAGACTGTGCGAGGCTCAAGGGTGCTAAGTAGTGCTCTGGTGTTTCAACAATGCTTCCATATGTTGATGTCATTTGGCTTGTTTCAGTACACGGAAGGATACTCCAGTTAAAAAGAGGTTGAAGCATTCTTTGAATCTTTTCGACTTTCCCTTCTTGCTTTGCAGAGGTGCTTTTCTCTCTTTCACTTTGCTCAATTTTCCTTAAAACATAATTCGTTTCTTCATTAAGGAAATTCCAAACTCCCTGCACCCAGTGCTTATTAGGCAATGATTCTTCCGTTGGGAACCACCTGACATAGTCGTCTTCAATGAAAAACTCCGATGGTAAGCATCGATTCAAGTTTGTGGCAAAGTCTTGAACACCAAAACGCTTAAACACCGATGATTCTTGAATACTTACATCGCCAAAGATGCGTATCCTGAGACGTTCATGAACAAACAATTCTCTGCATAGCGGTAGGATGTTGTGATGACGCGACAGAAACTTAGGATCACTGGTACTGAATGCACGTAGCTGGTTGTCCTGTGTCACAAGTAAAGGGAGGCCAGACAGGTTTGAAAGAAAGTTCGTATCCTCTTTGCAATACTTCAGCAGAAGTGAGACGTTGTCAGTACTCTTAAATTGACTCTCTTCAACATCAAGAGAGATCGGTCCAATCTGACAAATAGGTTCAGCATTATTGAAGGTCTTGTAAAACCTTATTACTGCAGAAGGTGATACGCTAACACAATCTACACATGAGTTGTGGAATGCTTCGCACACAGATAACGACAACTTCACGAGATTAAATCCCGTTTCCAGTAGTATTTCTTCTAATCTCTTTCTGCTCTCAAGAAGTCCTTTCTCTTCTTTTTCAGTGTCGCCTTTATTAAGGAAACCCCTCGAGTTACTAGAGAAACAACCACTTTCAGCAAGGTTATTGAAGAACGCTTTTTCTCTCCCTTCACCCGTTGGAGGAAGCCATGTTAGGCGATGCTCCGAAACAGTACCTTCTGATCCACCACCTCTGACCACCGGCAGAAGTCTCAATCTTCCCTCGTTCATCTTTCGATACACAGCTCTTCCTAAGGTCGCCCAGTATGTTTCACCCGAAACTACCAAAGGAAATAGCATTTCGTATACGTCGATCTTCCTGGACAAAGACTCCTTAGTGTACTGAATAGTAAATTGCTTCGTATCGGGCGCTGATGGCAAATGAAGAAACTCCCTAACTTCATCTAGAAGTGTTAGATAACAGGGTGCAATCACATCTTCTAGCAAAGCGTTGTTCCAGTCACTACGATAACCACGAGTTTCATCCCTCCAAAGGTTTCGTCTGGCCTCATGGTCTAATGCAAAGTGACCATTAATGTGGACTGGAAGGTTAGTCTCTATAGGAAGCGGAAGAAAGCAGTACGCCCTTTTCTTTCTACTTCCTGAACAGCTGTTTGTTGGCTCATTTTCTAGGAGGCAAGCAACTCCCCCTCGTGGTAGCATTCCCAGATCACTCGTTTGGTATGCATTTGTAATACTTGCTTGTACTTTGTTATCAAAGCCAATCTGTTGTACAATAAGCCACTTTTCTTGGTTGCCATCACTGTCTCGCAGGTTCAGAACATAAGAACACTTTTTCTTTTTAATGTCGTTGAGAAAAGTGTTATTTCTCTGGCCAGCTGACTTTCCGATCTGTCGGACATGACTTGCAAACTCTTGCCTTTTCTCTGCATCCTCTTCCGTCATTTTCGATTCGACAAAATAGTGGTTCATAGTTTTCCCGGTTTTCGGATCAACTTCACATAGAGTGATCCTAGTAATGTTGTTGACAAAAAGCATGACTTCGATGAGTTCCTTTTTAAGTGCGTTCATCATTTCATCTAGTGCTTGGAGCGTCACCGGTGATTTCGATATCTTGGAATCATTCGCCATTTCTTCAGTTCGTAACGGAAAACGGAACATTGTTGAATTTCGTAAGGGAAACTCCTCATCATTGTAGCAAGCAAAAACATCTGGAAAGACTTTTCTCAACATTGAGACTTTTCTGAACATCCTACCTGGTTCAAGACTGGTTGCACCTGGTACGTATTTACAGTGCGGATCAAATATGCACAAAACGTCTCCAATCTCCTCACCATTAGAGGCAAAGGACGGTGCGTCAGTCAGATGGTACACAGCATTGAAACCAACTCCGTACTGACCAGTTTTGTTTGGATCATCTCCTTTACTGCCCTCCCCGAGATTTTGAATTCCTATGATGTCGGCCTCAGTGAAAGGTTTGTTGTTATATACGCATAATGCAGGACCCTGCAGGGGTTTCCAGGAATCTTCAAATACTCTTTCGTCTGGGTGATGTCGAGGGTCTTTAATGAAGCAGATCTCAGTAGCCTGCGCATCGTCAGCATTCTGAAGAAGCTCTTTTAAGATTTCTTTCTCGCACGGGTAAGCTGAAAGAATTCGCTGTAGACGATTTGTAAGTTTTTCCTTTTGTCCAAAAGGGATACCACTTGAGAAATGCCTCAATGCTTCCTCGCGGCGTGTCTTGACGCCCAGTCTGGTACTTACCACGGGGGGAATCATGTCATTGACGAAGTGAACACCAATTTCGTCGGGCATCCAATGGCAGTCTCTCGTGCAAAGTTCATCAGCACTTCGCATTACACCTTTAGAATCAGGAAGAAAGAGCACTTCTTGAGGGCCCTCAATTTTTTTAACACCTGAGCAGTGTCCAAGTTGAAAAGCCAGGTTAACTGCTACTGGAAGACTCCTTTGATCAAGCTTTGCTTCCCCAAACCTTTCTTTTAGTTGCGTCAAACAGGCGACGAAATCCTTGGCTTCAAAAGAAGCCTTCACACCTGCACTCTTCATTAACTTTTCAAATAACCTTGCTAAGTCAGTCGGAAGCTGATGTAAATATGGAGAACAATCCGTCCCCAATCTGAAAGCTAACTGCTCCGTGTATAAAAAATTTCTTCCAAAGAAGATGAGCTTTTTTTCTTTAAAAATCTCCCTTATTTCTGTCTCGCTGATCGTTTCTTTGCTGAGTGATCGCTGAAGATACGTGTAAGCTTCTATACACAACTCTTTAACGTGATGAAGTTCTGAGGAATCCAATCTGTCCATGTTTACTGTTGAAGCAACCTCAAGTTGCCTTTGAACATGACCAACAGTGGCAGGTCTTTTGTCGAAGTCCAAAAACGTTTTCACGTTTTCTGGGATGTACATGGCGACAATTGGATCACTGCAACAAACCAAATACTTCTTGCTCTTAAGATAGGACTCTACGGGAGAAACGAATGCCCTTGTTTTACCACCGTGCAGTTCCTCTCCTTTCCAAAGAAGAGGAAATTTTTCAGGTTTTTTAAGTACGGGAAGAAACCTGGTCTTTATAAACTTGTTGCGAATGTCAACCGTTACAGAAGTTTCACTTTCAGAGATCAATTTTTCTGTTAGATGATCCATCAATGCTTTGGCGCGCTCCATTGCAGATGTACTGGAGAGCTCACTTAAAGTGGCAATGCTCTCTGCCCTCTCTACAACTTCATCCCACGTAAGTTTGTCTGTCAACATCCCGAGTTGTTCAAGCTTGGCAAGTCGTAAGCCATTTAGAAAAGTTTTCTCTGTACCAAACGGAAATCTTCTCTCGTCAGGACTAAAGAGTAAGGATGCTGTCTTTTGGGGGTTGATAAGTTGGGCGGGACACTTGAGCGTTTGGCCATCCGGTGAAGCGGGAATGCAAGGATACATCTTAATCAAACCGTCAAACTCTCCATTCTTGTCATCAAGAGTATACAATGCCAACTTTTCCCTCACTTCTGGTGCTATAGAAGCAATGTTTGGGAAGAACAAGTCACGGAAAAACCTTGACTTGTCGTAGCTTTTGTCCTTGATCTCTTCTGCGAGATCATACTTAAGGAAGGACTGGAAGACTTCAGCTGGAAGGTCAATGATGACCTCATTCTCTTTTCTCAGTCTTTTTAGAACTTCTAAGGACAATTCCCCAATTATCGGAACTTGGCGTAAATTTGGATCAAGAAAGACCACATGGTTTAACCCAACCCATTGCCTACCATCGGAAAAGAGATCATAGTCTCCACGTGTCAAACGTTGGTAAAATGAACGTGCAAGAGGTTCACAATTCGGCTCTACTGCATAAGCTCTAGGCCACAGTGCGTGATAATGGTAAGAATCAGCAGCCAACTTCTTTACGTCCTGGAGAAGGTCTAGATATGCCTCACAAATTGAATCTTGCATCAGATGATTGTTCCACTCGACTCCCATAGAACTTTTGTCATCGAATGTCTTCTCTTTCAAGCTTCGCCTGTTAGACGCCACCGCAAATGCCCCATTCACATGTACTGGAAAACCACTACAGATCGGAAGAGGAAGGTAGCAGAACAATCTTCCCTTGGGTTGTTGCACATTCTCGGCGATCAGATAGCCGACTGGCACGGGCATGAGTTTTCCACACTCATTGGGGATCAACTTAGCTGCAACCCCTCCTGATGGGAGTAGACTCTTATCAACCTTGGCAAACTGCATTGCTTGTCCTTTCCCCATGGAAGAGGCAATACGCCAAATCTCCAGTTCATCTCGGAGAGGGTTCTTGTCTTCGACAAATGCTATTCCAACCTCAGTGGAGGTACTTCGGATGGTAATTGTGAGCCCAGAACTTAGTGAAACTGAATTGGAGCAAATGGGATGTTTCAAATGCTTCATGACTTCGGAGGACGCTCGTAAAAAATTACACTGTTGCAATAGGTACTGCTCTTCACTACTGAGGTTCCCAGCAGCTTGTGGAAGTGTGACTGGAACAGAAAGTTCCCTTGTGACTCCGTCGTTATAAAAGGATTTGTTTACTTCAAACATTAACATGGGTGAATTGGAATAGTCCGAATCTTTCGGTAGATGAAAAATGCTGACACGGCGTACATTTTGCGTGAAGAGAAGGAGGGTTTTGGTTCCAGAGGCGAAAAGCTTCAGGAGTTCTTTCATTTGTTTGTTGTCGTAAGGAAGTTGCTTTATTTCACTTTTGATAGCTTGCTCTTTGGTACGTAAAGGAAAACGAAACAGAGTTCCAGGGTAAGAGTTGTCGTCTTTACTCAGGTGGAGATCGCAATTAAATATTCCATTGAACGGTTTAAATTGATTGCTGAGATTCCGAAGCCTCTTTGTGTTTTTGTTGATATTTATCTTTATTCCAGGTTTGCTCTTGTTTCTTATTGCCTTTCCGAGATAGAATGTGTTCGGGTCGAAAATCACAAAATAATTTCTGCTCAAAAACATCGGAACATCTGTCAGATTGTAGACTGCATTGAAACCAAGTCCAAACTTGCCAATTTTCTCAGTTTCTTGTTCTTTGGTAGCACCGTTTAATTTTGTGATGTTTGCAAAGTCCTCGTCTCTGAACTCGGCATCGTTGTAGACCCACAGAGCAGGACCCTGGCAGTGTTTCATTTCTTCGTCAATCAGACAGGTCATGGCATCCTGATTCGTTCGTTCGTCATAAAGAAATCTCACTTCAGTGGCACCTGCATCGTCTGCGTTTTGAACAAGTTCTTTGGGTACTGCAAAACCATCTGTGTAATCTTCCAAAAGTCTGCTAAGTCTACGGGTGAGTTTTTCTTCTTGTCCGAATTCCTCCCCGATATCCAGCTCGTCTTGCTCCAACATTCGATTCATCAACGTTGGAACGAGCAAAAGCTCAGCTGTGCTGTTGGGAACGTTTGGATGGACATAAAAATAATCCATCTCTTCGTCTTCTTCTCCGTCGTGCTTACTTCTTTCTAGCCATTCATGTTCGCAGTACATGCATTTATCAACTGGTGCAAGCTTAACATACGCATCGTCTTCCACATATGTCGGAATGAGTACCTTCTCCTGAAGTTCTGGCGGCAACTGTTCTCCAACCTTTGGCTTAATTTCATTCAGAATGTCCACAGACAACTGCAGGTCCTTCCGTGGCTCTTCCGAGGGAGGCGGAGGATGGTTATCGTACTTCTCTTTTATTAGGTGGAGCACCTCCAGCAAGAATGCATCATTGCACTTCTCTAGTACGCCAAATTTTATAAATAGCCCTTTGAATCTCGCCACTTCTGAGGGAAGGGAACAGATATATGGTGACAGATCAATCGGAGGTTTCTGAGATAGCAGGAATCTAGGGGAAGAAAATCTATCTCCATTCCAAATCCACGGAGCGTTCTTGACATTCTCCAAAGCAGCAAGTACTTCGTTTTGATCTGCACGACTGAGAAAGGCGTATATTTCCTGAGCGACGATGATATAACGCGGCTTGTCTTGTGAGCTGTAGCAACGTATTACATTCTGCAAATGCTGCACGACATCCAAAACAGCAGGGTCTGAGTTCCATGAAAAGAAATGGGTTAATTGGCTGGATGGCTCAGCTTTAACAAGTGGTCTCACCGATCCAATGATGTTTGCTGCTTGTTTGTACTTGACATCTGAAGGCTTCAGGAAATAACTGTCTGTGTGCGTTTCTCCCCAGAACGGAAGACTTTCGGGGTAGTTATCGGGTTTTCGCCTGATCACAGAGATCCAAGGAATACTTTTAAGGTGCATCCCGAGCTTTCCTAATCCAGACGTTCCGGAGAAGACCTCTTCAAGTTTTGTCGGATTACTAGTTAGGAATGACATGATCGCTGATGACTTCGATTCCGCTGCAGAAAAGTCAGCAATATTAGTCAATGCTTTTGCGCTTTCGTACAAATTTTGCCCTGTGATTTCTCCTGCGCCTTTCATGCCAAGGTACTCTAGAATTACGAGGGCTGCAGGGTGATTGTACTTTCCAACAGGGAACACATCTTCTTCCGCAAAAATTCTTTTTAGGACTTCTTGTCTAGGATCAAATACCTCCTTAGGTCTTACTCTGCCAGTTTTGGTTGAGACAAAGGGCAGGTCTTTTAACTGATGCTCAAACCTTGCGTCATCTGCAGTGTAAACGTGATATCGATCCATCACGAATTCCATGAGCCTGTCAATATCTTCTGAAGAGTAACGCTGACCTACCAGATCCGGAAATATCACCTCAAGCAAAACCTCAGAACGTGTCAGGATTTTGATGTCTAACAAACCTGCCAATCTCTTAGCGTCACTCTCTCTGACGTCAATGAGATCCCTGAGGGTCTTTATTGGGAACACTTCGTCAGGCGCAGCACAAAGGCCATCACTTTTAGAAACAAATGCTCCGGACAAAGTCTCAAACAGCGGAAAACAACTCAAGACTTTCACCACGTCTGGACTGAGCGAAGAGGCTTTGGCTACAAAATTCCTAAAATATCGTTTACCATTGTCTGATATGGTTTTGCTGGCGTTAGGCTTTAAGGAAAGGACAGCTGTCACGGCTTTCAACACGCTGAGAGTTGATGGCGGATGAACAAACGTTCCCAAAACGGCAGGGTGCCGAGTAAGGAACCCTGGATACTCTTGCATTACTGTAACACCAAATTCTTGCAAAGCTCCTACAATAGAGTCGCTTAAAGAATCACCATGAAGGCTTCTCACGACAACATCAGATTGCAATTTAAGTCTCACGAGGGTAATCGGAACTTTCGACACATCCAGTGGAAGTAGGGGCAGGCCTTGAAGTCTGCAAAGCTCGTCTACTGAGGAGAAGTTCTTTCCCAGGTATGCCCACAAATTTCCAAGCCAGTCTATGGACGGATGGCTTCCGACTCCAGGATACCACAAAACGGTTTGTCCGTCTGACCAACCAGGTGGTAGTGACGTCGAGAGAAGTTCAGCAACGTCATCTTTAGTGAAATGTCGTAATTGAGTGCATCCTGTACGAAAGGAACGGGACTTTTCAGCAAATCTTAGTTTGCTCTATAAGTGTAAACTTAATACATTCTGCCTGTGCGGTGTTATTGTGACAATTGTTTCACATAAATCCGGATAACCATAAAAAATCTTAAAACTAATAGGTAAAATAATTGTGATCTTCCATGTGGGTTGATAAAAATAGCTTCACAAACGCATTGAAATTTTTTTAATTTTTTCCAAAATGACTCGCTGTGATTTCTATATTACTTGCCCTGTGCTTTTACAACATCACACAAGCGGCTTGTTCAATACAAGCGAACTTCTCGGTATTCTGCGAAACTACACGCACGCTATGCTCTGAGGAGGGATTGGTTACATGATAATAGAAAGTAAGTATTCTCCATTATCTCCAATTCTTCGACGGGATAATATATGGTGACCTTTACGAATTTGACACCGTACAGTTCAAGGCTCTAGTTCTAGTACATTGAAGGGATTAATTATTATCTTTCTCAAATGCATGTAACTAGCTTATTTCTTTGTATGGCTCTTGTCGTTGTTGTTATAACTACTGCAAATTATCATACCTTGATTTGCGACTACATCCAGGTTTCGTGACAAATCTTGGTTGATGCTCTCATCTAAGAATTTTTGTTGCGGGCACGGTAAGAGCTCACGCGGATGTGCTGGTGAAGAAATGTAAACAGCCTCGCCCGAACTGGAAAAAGACGCGAATAGCTCGTTGGAAATCGGTAACAGCTCCAATCCAAGTACCTCAGAAAAGCAACCGTCTTGGAGGACAAATTTCAGTAGCAGGAGCTTTTCTAACCGTGTTAACTTTGAGTAGTTAAAGGGAGCACTCTTAAGGACTCTTCGCGTCAACGAGGGTGTTATCACTGCATTCAAAGTTGAGTACAAGCAAATGGATTTTAAAGCGTGTTCGGGTAAACAGGCGACGTTTTCATTCACTGCAAGGAAAACGTTTACCAAAAGTTCCTTAGGATCGCTTTCTGCAAGTCTTTCAACGATCACGTCTTGCACCCGCAGCCACTTTCCTCCTTGAGCCGGAGTATAGATGATTCTCTTGTCAAGAAGCAACTCAAATAGGGGTTTCTCGACTCTTTTCCATTTCTGATCGATATTGGCTATATTAGGCCAGGCCCTATACAAAGGAGAAATAAATCATGGAGAATTCTTAAAGCCAGAGAAGGACTATTAGATCCATAAACTGCTTAAGCATGAGATTAACAGATATTTTAGCGACAAAAGAGACGCACAACAACAAACATATGAAACAGAGACGCAGTTGGTCCCATAAGAAACCGCTTACATGTCTCAATCAGTTTTAACTGTTTTCGTCAACTTATGTTCTTGAGGTCTTTGCAACATTTAATCTTCGGTAAAATGAGGTAAATCTATCATAAGGGCACACAGGTCCGAAAATAACTCTTACTTGTAAATGGCTTCGCTTTGCACATTGTATTTCTGTTTGTCCATGGCATCCAGCAGCACGGAAGCGTAAGCTTTAGGAATGGCCTCTTGCAGAAGACACTGGTTCCATAACAATGACTTGTCAGTCAGGGGCTGGCCTTCCTTCTCAGCCAGATCTTCCTGTTCAGCTGTTGGAGTCTTAATGTATCGCCTATTCTGACTCAAAGCAAAGAAGCCATTAACGTGCACTGGCAATCCTGTCAAACTTGTCTTCTGTACTGGTAGTGGTAGGAAACAAAACACGTGGCCTTTGATATTTGGCGTTTCATTTTCAGGGCGTTCTGGCAGCGCCATGGCGACGCCTACTAAAGGCAGATAGCTAAGATCTTGATCCGAAGCCAAGGTTCTAAATTCTGACGAGATTTCTCCTCCACAAAAAAAGTTGGTAACTAGAAACGAATGTCGCTCTGACGGATTTTGCATGCCTTGGGAGTACGTAATTGCCTCAATTGTGATTGGATAAGTTACCTTCACAGCCTCTGGCAATAGTTCACCTGATGAGATCTTGCTTCGAAACTCACTCCTCTTTTCTCGTACCAATTGGAGGGTATCATTGGTGATGCGGACTTGAAAAGTTCTCTTGGCGTCACTTTCCGTTTCCTCTCGAACAAAAAGCTCTATGGATTCCAAGTACTGAAGAAAGAGAAGGATCAAATGAGCATCTGCTTCAAAACTTTCAAACAAGGTTTGCACCTTTTGGGTAGTGTATAACGTCTGCGATAGCTTAGATGGTTTTGTTCTTAAAGGGAAACGAAACATAGTTCCATTATAGGATTCCTGTTTGAAGGTGTCCTCTGTGCAATCGAGTATCCCTTTGTATGGCTGAAACTGGTCTGGTATGCTGTCTATGATCTCTCGGTCCTCTTTCAATTGCCACCTATGCCCGGTTCGTTTGCCGTTTTCGTCGCTAAAGTACTCTTCGTGCGGATCAATCACTCCGATCTGCGAACCACTTACGATACTTGGTAAATCTGTAAACGAAAATAAAAAAAGTTTACTGCATTTCAACAATAGCCGGCTTTCACTGTTACACCATCAAGAAAAACATTCAACAAATAAAGTAAAGAATTAGAAAAAAAGAAGATGAACCTGGAAACAGTCTCGCAAAGACTCAGGTCTGTGCGGTGTTTCGTGGGGGAGATATTCGAAGAAATGTTTATTCAAACTTATACGACTTTGTTCGTATGGAGACGTTATGTTTGTGACCCTGAGTGGCAGAAATATGGCGGCAGGTAGCTCACAAAAGCATGTGTCATCGAATTATGCCACAAAAAGCCTGCAGTTGTCTTATGAAGGCTCATAAACATCTATATAAGTATTTATTTTCATACAAGGACTGTTCAGATTGTTAAATCTCAATGATATGTCACTTTTTTTAACTTAAGCGACGGCATTCTTGGCCGCTATTGATATCTGGTGTCACGCGAAAGCTTCGAAATTCAACCTTGTTTATCGAGAGGCAAAATTATACTGGAAATTTGTATAAAGATAAGTTATTCGTTCTAATAACTGAGTAAACTAAAATCTAAAAGGGATTGATAATTCCTTTTTTGTTTAATTTTGATGACGTCAAGTGAAAACCAAACACATCTTTGCAATATTAGAGGAAAATTGTTGTTTCTTACAATACCAGGCATGCACAGCAATGATAAATAGGGTTACACAAAGTTAATATATCTGTAAATGCAAGGGTAGTACATGTATGACTTTACCTTCAAGTATGAGAATTCTCTTGTAAACCTGTTGGCTGTTTGCACCCTTATTTTTCCAATTGATAATTTAGAACCGGTAATTTTTGGTAAAGGCTCGCATAGAATAAGGATGAAATATTTACAAAATACTAAAATAATAAGAAAATAATCTAAATAAAAAGTATTCGTTCAGAGTATTCATATACGAATATTCTTCCGTGTACTTCCCCTACTTGTGACTCTAAAATAGAAGAATATTACAAAAGTTCGCGATTAATTCCTTGTTTTTGTAATGCTGCTGTGACAAAATTTTCAGCACAAATATCAATGATTTCGAAGAGAAATAGTTCACCCTCGCAAAACACATTAAGTTGTCAATCGTTAAATAAAAAGCTCTGGTAATTAATTTTCTTTTTGCCAAACAATTAGTATAATGAAAACACACCTCGCAAATATCCACGTTGGAGTCTGAAAACATAGCAAGAGACTCACCTGTCATATGAAAAACAGACTTAAAGCCAAGACCGAAACGGCCAACTTTCATTGGATCTGTGACTTTAATACTATCACACAACTTCCGTATGCCCTTCCAGTCATCTTTTGTAAACTGAGCGTCATTATATGCATAAAGTGCTGCGCCCTGTTACAAACAAACGATCAGATTCACTATAAGAGACCAACAATTAATAAGTGGGTGTGTTCTTCACGAAAAGGAGACCACTTTAATTTTTTTTAATACAATCTGTTTGTATCTGCCTAAGGAAAAGATTAAGTCATTCTTGCCCGTTACACATGTTGGAAGAATAAGTAAAATGAGTTGAAAGCTTAAGGCCCTATTAGGGTTATCGGAATACGAGATGCATATGGGTAAAACATTTTAAGGATACTGAATTCTGCACATTTTGAGAAGAAATTCTGGGATGTGGAACTGGAAGTATAGTGATACAAACCATAGGAATTATCAGGATACGGGATATTTTGGCGGAAAAGAGTACGGGATCCGGAATATTGAGACTCCTTCTCAAGGGGCCTAAAGTTTGCACGTCGAAAACAAAACTTACCTGAAATTGAGCAAGACCTTGGTGGTATAGTTTGGAAACAGAATGGCAGTGTTTGTCATGAAGGAATTTAACGCGACTTGCACATGCATCCTCCGCATTTTGGATGAGCTCCTAATACAACACAACACATTTTAAGATGGAAAATAAGTAAGGAAAAAATTGTAGAAAGCACACCCACATGAAAAGACCTGTCCACCCTGGCGTGGATCATTGTTCCATATAAAACACAACGCGTAAAGTTCGAAAATGTGTTAACACGAAGGTATGCCGTAACTTCATTCCTTAGCCAATTGCAGGATTTGGCTTGGACACCCCTACCCATTTAACCTCTCAGTCAGTACTAACTGAGAGGACTAGATGTCTCAAGGAAAGACTGAAATGTTTAGCTCTCGAAAGTATAAACCAGCTGACAACCTATACGTGGCAAAAGGAAGGGTAGGAAAATTTTTTGGCGAGGAGGAGGGGTAAAGCTAAATGGACGTGGCCTCTGGAGTATTTATACAAGATTTATAGTCCTGAAAATCAGGCGGAATCAAGTTCATGGATATATTCCGTTTTTTATCTTTAAGTTTTGTAACAGTTACATAAAATTACTTAATGCCTTACTCTTTCACACGTTCCTTGACGTAAATTGAAAAAACCCTTGGAAACTCATTTTCTTACTGAAGGTGATTTATCTTTGAAAACTTTCCTGCTTCTACGTGTTAACGGTTTCCTCTGAGTGTTATACCAAAAGGTGGTACTACTAGTGACTATTGGTTGTGGTGCCATTCTCCTATTCTTACCTTCAATATCTGGCCATCATCTGGATACTGATCCAGGATTTTTCTCAACTGCTGGATCAAGGTAGGCCTAATCAAATCAAATCCATCGTCATCCTTTTCAGCTGATAGGAAAAAGTAAAGAATTATTTTTCCAAAAAAGAAAAAGAAAAGAAAAGGGCATTTGTACAACTTAGGAAGCGGTGGGAGCGCTTAAAAGGCAGGGAGAAAATTCGACTACGTCTCTTGTTTCTCCCTACGCTTCAGTGGTGCTCTAGCCTCTTCCTGCGTACTTTACAACAGAATATAGCACAGCCAAGGCTTCTTATTTGTTCTATAAAAGAGAATCCGTCAAATTCTCCACGCATTACTTACTAAGTCAACACAAATCTTCATTTTCGAAGCGAATAAGTCATCAGCAAGTTCTGTACTCTCATAAAACACGCTGCAATAAGCCAATCAGAATCCTGGTTAGAATGGTTCTAATAATCTGATTGATTGAACAAGACTAAAGCTGTCAAAAATGTCAAACCATCAAAGATCCCAATGCGCAATAGTTCACAAACTGAAATAGTCGGATTGGTCGAATTTAAAACCTTTGCCAGAAGATTTTCAGTCTCAATACAGAATCTGAAAAGTGATATGTTAGGTGAAATCCGGCCGAATTGTGCCTGATGAAAACACACAAGTCTTTTGGCATGGCAACTAGAAAACAAACTGCTTAAGGCGTATGTTTTATGAGTGAGCGACAGCCGAATTCACAAGAAAATGAAGATTTCTCAGGATGAAAGAGCCGTAAAAATCGGCTGTTGTGACTGATCAGGTCTTCTCAACGCGATGCAATGATCGGTACTAAGATAGTTTCGTCTATATTAGCCGACTTTAAAGTGTTTCAAATGACGTAGAATTATAACAGTGCATCGTCAGAGGATTTGGAATTGCTCAAATTCCCACGAAAGAAGGTACAACAATCGGAGTCTGAATGATATCAGTGATACGCACACGATTTAATGTAGAGGTCTGTGGTTAAGTCCAGTAGTCCTCCATGAAAGCTAATCAATTTTTTTTAAGATGACAGCCACAAGCGATAGTTTTCCTACGGATATTTCTTGTAAGATAATATTCTTTTAAAGCCGTGTACATTCCATTTATCAAGAACTTTTGTTGTTGAGAACATTAGATATAAACATCACCAAAATATGCAATATCTGATTTTCAAGCTTCGTTCGCAGTTTGCCCCTACGAAAAGTAGAATATTAAGGTCAACTAGGTGCATAGTTTCAGTTCCAGAATCGGTGTACTTTTGGAGACTCAGGTGAACGATTTCCCTTTTTTCCCCTTCAAAAACAAATTACTGTATCGAGAAAAGTAATCGATTAGTATGAGGCGGAGATAAATATTTTAGGTAATAGTATGGGGAAATCATCCACACCTGTTCTCTCAATCTTCTCTTCCGTCGACACCAATGGAAATCTCTGGGTGTTTTCTGCAGTTTCACTTCGAGTACACGCGGTGACGACACCAGTGACATTTTCATCATTAAATGGTGTAAAACCTTTTTCGGAAACATGGAGGCCCGAACTTTTGTCGTCACTGCTGGTTGGAACCACTTCGCCAGTAAGTGGGATCTTTAATTTTTTGGCATCAGCAGACGAAGGTTCTATGCTTCCTAAAGGAATTATGTTGGAAAAAAAGAACAGCAAACTTTGTTTAAAGTCGTGATTGCCATGATATGTGACCTATCGGGGGCCTTGGGTGGGAGATCTCTGACTGTACACGAAATCCATTGAAGAATCGAGAACCATCAAACGGATAACATCTAGAATCTTATCTCAGCATGGGAGCTGGATTTTTTTTTATATTTGCATAAAAAAAGTTACGTTTTGGAACCCAAAATGCAACCTCTAACTTTCGTCTTTGTCATTAAAAAGTTATATCAACCTTCTGACTTATTAAGACCAGGGACCAGATACAGGATTCAGACTACAAGTAACTAGCATTGATATAATGATATAAGAGACGTGCACAATTCTGCATCTTTTAGCAACGAGTACAGTCCAGGAAAGGAAATAGTACTGATCTTTACATTGCTCGGAGTGTTATGTTTATCTCAAACGCAGTCTTGTCACGATGGATCATGTTGCATATGACATAGAAGTACAATAGTGCATCGTCAGAGGATTTGGAATTGCTCAAATTCCCACGAAAGAAGGTACAACAATCGGAGTCTGGATGATATCAGTGATATGCACACGATTTGATGTAATTGTCTGTAGTTACGTCGAGTAGTCCTCCATGAAAGCTAATCAATTTTTTTTAAGATGACAGCCACAAGCGATAGTTTTCCTACGGATATTTCTTGTAAGATAATATTCTTTTAAAGCCATGTACATTCTATATGTCAAGAACTTTTGTTGTCGAGAATAATAGATATAAACGTCACCAAAATATGCAATATCTGATTTTCAAGCTTCGTTCGCAATTTGCCCCTACGAAAAGTAGAATATTAAGGCCAACTAGGTGCATAGTTTCAGTTCCAGAATCGGTGTANTGTTTGTATCTGCCTAAGGAAAAGATTAAGTCATTCTTGCCCGTTACACATGTTGGAAGAATAAGTAAAATGAGTTGAAAGCTTAAGGCCCTATTAGGGTTATCGGAATACGAGATGCATATGGGTAAAACATTTTAAGGATACTGAATTCTGCACATTTTGAGAAGAAATTCTGGGATGTGGAACTGGAAGTATAGTGATACAAACCATAGGAATTATCAGGATACGGGATATTTTGGCGGAAAAGAGTACGGGATCCGGAATATTGAGACTCCTTCTCAAGGGGCCTAAAGTTTGCACGTCGAAAACAAAACTTACCTGAAATTGAGCAAGACCTTGGTGGTATAGTTTGGAAACAGAATGGCAGTGTTTGTCATGAAGGAATTTAACGCGACTTGCACATGCATCCTCCGCATTTTGGATGAGCTCCTAATACAACACAACACATTTTAAGATGGAAAATAAGTAAGGAAAAAATTGTAGAAAGCACACCCACATGAAAAGACCTGTCCACCCTGGCGTGGATCATTGTTCCATATAAAACACAACGCGTAAAGTTCGAAAATGTGTTAACACGAAGGTATGCCGTAACTTCATTCCTTAGCCAATTGCAGGATTTGGCTTGGACACCCCTACCCATTTAACCTCTCAGTCAGTACTAACTGAGAGGACTAGATGTCTCAAGGAAAGACTGAAATGTTTAGCTCTCGAAAGTATAAACCAGCTGACAACCTATACGTGGCAAAAGGAAGGGTAGGAAAATTTTTTGGCGAGGAGGAGGGGTAAAGCTAAATGGACGTGGCCTCTGGAGTATTTATACAAGATTTATAGTCCTGAAAATCAGGCGGAATCAAGTTCATGGATATATTCCGTTTTTTATCTTTAAGTTTTGTAACAGTTACATAAAATTACTTAATGCCTTACTCTTTCACACGTTCCTTGACGTAAATTGAAAAAACCCTTGGAAACTCATTTTCTTACTGAAGGTGATTTATCTTTGAAAACTTTCCTGCTTCTACGTGTTAACGGTTTCCTCTGAGTGTTATACCAAAAGGTGGTACTACTAGTGACTATTGGTTGTGGTGCCATTCTCCTATTCTTACCTTCAATATCTGGCCATCATCTGGATACTGATCCAGGATTTTTCTCAACTGCTGGATCAAGGTAGGCCTAATCAAATCAAATCCATCGTCATCCTTTTCAGCTGATAGGAAAAAGTAAAGAATTATTTTTCCAAAAAAGAAAAAGAAAAGAAAAGGGCATTTGTACAACTTAGGAAGCGGTGGGAGCGCTTAAAAGGCAGGGAGAAAATTCGACTACGTCTCTTGTTTCTCCCTACGCTTCAGTGGTGCTCTAGCCTCTTCCTGCGTACTTTACAACAGAATATAGCACAGCCAAGGCTTCTTATTTGTTCTATAAAAGAGAATCCGTCAAATTCTCCACGCATTACTTACTAAGTCAACACAAATCTTCATTTTCGAAGCGAATAAGTCATCAGCAAGTTCTGTACTCTCATAAAACACGCTGCAATAAGCCAATCAGAATCCTGGTTAGAATGGTTCTAATAATCTGATTGATTGAACAAGACTAAAGCTGTCAAAAATGTCAAACCATCAAAGATCCCAATGCGCAATAGTTCACAAACTGAAATAGTCGGATTGGTCGAATTTAAAACCTTTGCCAGAAGATTTTCAGTCTCAATACAGAATCTGAAAAGTGATATGTTAGGTGAAATCCGGCCGAATTGTGCCTGATGAAAACACACAAGTCTTTTGGCATGGCAACTAGAAAACAAACTGCTTAAGGCGTATGTTTTATGAGTGAGCGACAGCCGAATTCACAAGAAAATGAAGATTTCTCAGGATGAAAGAGCCGTAAAAATCGGCTGTTGTGACTGATCAGGTCTTCTCAACGCGATGCAATGATCGGTACTAAGATAGTTTCGTCTATATTAGCCGACTTTAAAGTGTTTCAAATGACGTAGAATTATAACAGTGCATCGTCAGAGGATTTGGAATTGCTCAAATTTCCATGAAAGAAGGTACAACAATCGGAGTCTGAATGATATCAGTGATACGCACACGATTTAATGTAGAGGTCTGTGGTTAAGTCCAGTAGTCCTCCATGAAAGCTAATCAATTTTTTTTAAGATGACAGCCACAAGCGATAGTTTTCCTACGGATATTTCTTGTAAGATAATATTCTTTTAAAGCCATGTACATTCTATATGTCAAGAACTTTTGTTGTCGAGAATAATAGATATAAACGTCACCAAAATATGCAATATCTGATTTTCAAGCTTCGTTCGCAATTTGCCCCTACGAAAAGTAGAATATTAAGGCCAACTAGGTGCATAGTTTCAGTTCCAGAATCGGTGTACTTTTGGAGAGACTCAGATGAATGTTTTCCCTTTTTTCCCCTTCATAAAAAAACGATTGTATTGAGATAAGTAATCGATTAATGTGTTTAAATTTCGAAGGGGAATAAAAATAAGCCGGAGGTAATATTTTAGGTAATGGTATGGGGAAATCATCCACACCAAAACAAATTTTTCTTCCGTCGACAACGATGGAAATCTCTGGGTGTTTTCCGTAGTTTCACCTTGAGTATCCGCAGTGACGACAGCAGTGACCTTTTCATCATTAGATGGTGTGAGACCTTTTTCGGAAGCATGGAAGCCATTTTTGTCGTCACCCCTGGTTGGAACCACTTTACCAGTAAGCGGGATCTCTGATTTTTTGGCATCAGTAGACGTAACTTCTATGTTTCCTAAAGGAATTATATTGGAAAAAAGAACAGCAAACTTTGTTTAAAGTCGTGATTGCCATGATATGTGACTCATTGGAAGCCAAGGGTGGGAGATCTCTGACTATACTCGAAATCCATTCAAGAATCGAGAACCATCAAACGGATAACATCTAGAATCTTATTTTAACATGCGAGCTGGTTTTGTTTTTAGTTGCATTGAAAACGTTAAGTTTTGGAACCTAAAATCTAACTTTCATCTTTTTAATAAAAAAAGTCGTTTACTGACTTATTAAGACACAGACGGCATTTCAGGGAGCAGATGTAGGATTCAGACTACAAGTAGCTAGCATCGATATAATGATATCAGAGACGTCCACGATCCTTTTGTATTGTGTAACCTCGTTGCAAATGTTTAATGTTCCAAGATCAGTTCGTTCGTGGTAAGAACAGAAGAGTGACACACGAGGCTGTGCCCCGTGTGTCACCCTTACAACATTTTTGCATCCTCTGTGATCTATTTGTTGTTATTTTTTTAAAGAAAAATTCCCATAACTATTTATTTGATGGCTGATGTCCCAAGTTTGACGTGTCTTCTGTGGAGGTAACAGACCGGAGACTCAGTGTATATTCTCCGTGTTTTGAATAGCAGTTATAATGAAACAATTGCCAAATGATATATTTTTGAAGAAATATTCATTTAACTATATTTACCTTTAAACGTATACAGCATCCTTATACAAAGATGAAATGGCAATTATTAACCACTCTTAAAATCAAATAGGAAGTGAAGCTACCGAGACGACATGAAATTTTTAAATACCTGCGAATGACAGTTTGCAAGCAAAGTAATCTTCTCTCAAAATGGTCGTTTCCAGTTCTATGGATTCCACATCATATTTCCTTTTTACCTCATCTGTTAAAAGATGTTCTTCTGCTATGGCATTTAGGTGACCGGAGCTGTAATCTTCCCAAAGTCGCTCAAGGATTTCCAGAGTCCTGCATTCGACTATTATTCTCAAACTTCCTTCACCAGCTTGTTTTACTCTTAAATCGAGCGCACCTTGTAGGTAGTAATAGAGACCCCAACAAAAGTTTTGCGACGGGATTTGAGCAGCGTGTGTTTCGACAAAACATTTAGTCATCTCGCCCATTATATGCCGATTCAACTCTTCTTGCTGTTCTTCGTCATTTCGCTTTCTCTTAGCCCGCTTGAGATCCATTACAATTGGCAGAGTATGATACCCTGAGGGTGGACGAACAGACACCTCTAGAAGAAAGACACAAAGAAATACTCTCAAAATAAGATAACTTGCCATTCCATAATGAAATAACTATTGCAGTTAATTTTTCATTCAGTTAGGTATGCAGTATATTAACTACTTACACTTTTTTGAAGGGGGAGAATGATTTAGAGTTATAGTACAAGTGTTGCTTCTGTGGTGCAGTGGTACTTTTACTCCAGTGGAGTTCTTTTTACTCCAGCGATTGGGAACTTGAGGTACGAACTAAACGCTCAGTGAGTATGCAAATAACATAGATTATCCTGCTTGTTGTATGGACAAAAGGAGAGAGGAGGGATTAAAAGGCAAAGCCTAAGGGCGAAGCTCCCGTTGGTTTATTTTCCAGACGTTCACTATATTGGTACTCCTCACTGACTATTGAAGAGTTTATTCACAGGAATTTAGGGACCGGTCATTAATTATTAGAGGGGGGATAGGGGTGGCATGGAGTCAATAGTTTTGTGGTAGTAAGAGGGCAGGCTTTCCTTTCTTCATTTAGGAAAGTTTAAATGTAGGTTCAAGGGATAATAAGAGCGAATGTGACGGTGAATGGTTATGTTGGCAAATATGCAGAGTAGGATATAAAAGTAAAGGACATTGTCTTAATAACTATCTCATTTTAATTGTGTTAACTATTGAGCTAAGGCACTCTGGTCGATACGAGTTGATTTAAACTTCATGCATCAAAATAAAAAAAAAATGGTGACTCCCAGTCTATTTGGCCCTAAAGAGTCGAGTATGCACACTTCATCAAGTTGTCCATGTTTACAAGCGCAAGCGCATACGATTTCCTTGATACAGACGCAGGCGCGCATGCATGATACATTCCCCTTTTGCCTTCTATATGTATGGTGCCAAGGTTTGTGCCCGCATTTCAATTGTCCTTGCATGCTAACAGATGTACCTTGCAAAGACAGTCGGTCATACGGTCACTTGAGGAACCAAATTTTCTCAGATCTGTTATTGTTATCTTTACCAATTTTTGATTAGTATGAGGCTTCGCTGCGCACGCTGCGAGTTCCGCTAAAAGCTAACTCCGCAGCAAGTTATCGGTAAAAGGAAAAAACACAAACATAGCAGCTTTTAAAGGACGAGAACTTCATTCATGGAATCTTAAAAAAAATAATCTCAGCGACTTCAGTAGTTCAATGCCATCAAGAAGTTGTATCCTAGACGCTAAAATTGGCTTATTAACAAGACTCAAACACAATACTGGTGAGGTGATATATTTCAACAACACACATCCTGTAGAAAACGACCATAATTTTTAAGCAACGATCATCGCAATCGACCATTGTTACCTTAGCCTGTAATCTAGAACACGAGATAGGAAAAAAAATAAGAAACAAATTTACAACAACTGGACGCCAATGACCCAAGGTATGTCACACAAGGAAGCCGCGGGCAGCCTCGCAGAATAAAACAACCATGTAAGGAAAAGGTTTCTTTCCTTCATTTCTATTTTCTTAAAATAGGTTCGTAGAAGGAAAACTGCGTTGCGACAAGTATCTGGAATTCTCCTACATCCTCTCAAGCTTGCACCACAATATGAAGACTTAGAAACATAAACTGGGTATTTAAGTCGACGTATTGGTAGAATAGTAACTCCGAAAAAACATACAGTCTGACTTCGTTGTGAGTTTCATCTAAGACCTCTTAGCGGCGGTTACAGCCTATCAGGATTAAACGGATTATATTAAAGTCATCTCCGAAGGTCGTCGTTACTAGTATAACCAGTTTACATGTGCTAGATAGGAACAGCGCGCACTAGGAACAGATGGACGACAACTTAACGAGGCTGTCAAACGTTAGCTATGCAAGAAAAGTAAATTTCAAATGTCTTCGCCGTAGACATCTGCCAACTGCGTTCAATTTCATACGTTCCTGTTGATCCTTGTGAAAACACAGAACTTCCCACACTACAAATATAAAGAAAAATTGAAGTGGCGGATAGAAAAGGTATGCGCTATTTGAAAATGAAAAAAGTCAACTTTTTCTTTACGATCTCTAGTTTAATCGTTTGCTTTATCGCCCCTGGATTGATAACAAAACATTTGATATATACCACACCGGTAACAGTTACTTTTGGATGTTACAGAAGGTAAATTATAATACACTCACCACGACACTGCTCACATAATAACGGCATGCCTAAAAGTAACATACCTGTATGGGAGTCGATGGTGACTTCCGTTTGCTGATCAGGAAATATGGCTCCTCGGTTGAAACCTTGACAATCTCTGGGAGGTTCTAAGTAGAAAATTTACAAAAACATGGAGTCTTATTCCACTTAATTTTATGCAATTTCTAGTTTATCACTAAAATTCTTTTTTGGAGTGACTGGAACACTTCAGTTTTCACATTCGATCTTTGAAAAATTTCCTCATAATTTCCATAAACGATTATCCTGGTACCAAGCAACGTTTTTAAGCAGAGTGATATGACTATTTAATTTAAAACATCTTATCCACTCCCTAGACTTGAAATGGAATTAAAACTTAGGTGATGTAAGAAAAGAGATAATAAAAGGTAATCAACTTTTTTTTCTGTGAAGTTCAGTAAGTAGTGGTGACTAAATTCATACCATCAGTAATGCTGATCAATTTTTCGATGAGAGATTTAATTTGCTCCTCCCAGCTATACGTCTCTTGGTAAAACCCACGCAACACTTCGCATTCCCGCAGTCTCGTGGCCCTCTCTTTGTTGTGGATATTCTTAATTGCCTTGGCCCATACTTCAGGATCATTTGAATCAACAACAAAATACGAACCAAATGAAACTTTCATCAAAGCCTCTCCCAATCCCGAGTTTCGACCTACAAGGATGGGTAATCCTGCTGATAGAGCTTGAAGGCCTATTACACCAAAGCCTTCTGTCCTCGAGGGCATAACCGCAAGATCTGCTTCAAGAAGCTCCCTTTCTAAACTTTCCTGGCAATCGAAAAGGCTCCGTAATTTTAACTTGTTGGGGGAGATACCACACTCGAGGAGACGATGTTTTGTATCTTCTAGCTTGACATCAACTGCACTGATAAATACGAGGTGACAATTACTTAATTTAGCAACAGCGCCTGCCGCAATATCAAATCCATTAAGCATAAAGTCCTCTGGATTTCCGTACCCAAAGCACAGAACTCTAAACGTTTTCCTTTCCTCGTGAACTTGCTTAAGACCAGAAAACTCGGCCAGAATTCCGGGAGTGAACTCAAAGAAACATTTATCTTTTTCACAGGATCGACGAACAGCTTCAGTTAACTTGGGTCCAATCGTTAGGACGAAGTCAGACAGTTTGCAAAGTTCAATTTCTGATTCATGCTTTTTCTGCGCATTCGATATTGGATTTGAATACTCCTTAAACACCCCTATTTCTTCATGGGCTTTATGGACAACCTGTACCCATTTACATTGGTGAGAATTCCTTATAACTTGTGCTGGAAGCCCCAGCTCAACGCCATGTCCCACGACCACATCAATTAGCAAATTCTTTGGTGGAAAATTGAGGCAAGCCAGTTCATCACAACTTATCAGCTTTTCAGCCTCAACAAGGTGGATTCTTTGAGTTTTAGCTGCTTCCTTATCTCTAGCATCGCATCTTGGTACAAAGAAAGTGACCTCAACCTTGGGATCTTTCGCCATGTTTACCGCCAATTCCCTTTTTATGCCCGAGAGACTTCCATCGTTTGATCTCCATTCTGAAGCCAGGAAAGTGACTCTAAGCTCTCTCGATGATGGAAAATGTCTCTTTTTATCTTTGATGCCATCTTCACGTGGAATACCGGTAGAGTTTGAGCGCTCTCTTTCCTTAAAAACAAATGAAAAATTCTCGAAATATTTGATGGAACTTCGTCCATGTCGGTTGACCAAAAGATATCTAATGATAGTTCCTAAATTATATTAAAACAAACCGAGGTTTATAAGTTGACTAATCAGAAGCAAGGATGTCTTTAACAACAACAAACATTGATTTATCATCAACAACAACAAACATTTGATTTATCATCTACGGGTTTATGTCGAATTAATTTGATGGCCTGCTCCCAGTTGGCTTGTTTGCTCAATTGGTAGAGCGCTGCACTAGTATCGCAGAGGTCAGTGGTTCGAATCCCGTACAGGCCTGAAATTTTTTCAGGTTTGATTTTCACTATTGCTCAAATAGTGCTTTACTGCGAAGGATCGTGCACATATACGATGTCTTTAACGTTGGTTAGTAACTGACGTAGTGTAGTGATGGGTTTGTGGGCGACGCGGACGAATCGAGGAACAGACAGGGAGTGATTTATAAGATCAATTGCCCTGACTGCCAAGCCTCCTACCTTGGAGAGACTGAATGAATGAATGAATAAATGAATAAAATATCTTTATTTCGCTCGTTAAAATACATAACAAACGTTACACTGAGAGAGGAAAGGTATATAGATCATTTACAATAACTAAATAAAATCGAATAAAACATAAGATATATCATGTTACTTAGCAAAGCTGTATTTAAACATTATTCTATTAAAATAGCAATTCTTAAATCGTTCCGAATTTATCCTGGCAGAAACCTCGCAACAAGACTGACTGAACACAGTCGAACGACGAGGAAAAGTGATATCAACAATCACATTGCTAAACATCATCGACCTACGAACCACAATATTGACTGGGACTGCGCAATGCCTAACTTACAGCACTAACTACTTTCAACGACTGACTCTGGAAAGCTGGTTTACGAACTTAGAACAGACTCCCCTAAATAGGTGTCATCTACCACTGGCTCCATACAAACGACTCACTCACGACATTAACATTACAAACGAACCGAACAGAACGACCTACCTTTACCGACGGATCGAACCTGGCCAATCACGACGGACTTACTTTGAGTCTTACAGCCAGTAACATCACGGCAAAACTGACCAATCATTTTACACGAACTTCTGCTGAAAACAACTATCCACTTAACTCTGAAGATGACTTCCGCACAGGTTGTCGAAACGTCAGTCACCACCACCGACAACAGTCCTTCTCAGGACTACACTCCGGCACCTGGACGATCACACACTACACTTTCACATGTTACTCCCGGGTTCAAAACATTTACTGCAGATATAATTTCATTCATTTTGAAAAGTGTATGATTAATTTTCATCGTTCTAAAACACATTCAATCGCTCAAGTTAAACCACCAGAGTCAGGCAAGAAGGGTAATTCTAAATCGAGCTGATTTTCATATGGTGGTAGAGCTTCAGGTCCTATGACCCTAACCCGAGGGCTATAGTGAGGTTGTCGATAACACCTCTACAGAGTAGCTCAAAATTTACGTCTACCACTTGAAAATGTAGATTAGAGCCAGGAAGAATAACAATAAAAGAAAAATGGTTGTTAAATACTATATTACATCAGTGATGAATGTAGGCAGTCTGAGACCGAATGTGACTACCTATATAGCTCAATTTTTAAAGCACTGAAATAGAGGTTGTTTGATGACGCTAGAGGGTAGTGTTGCAGAGGATTTGTACTCACAATGAAAATAGAAAACCTGCCTCATCTCACTTATTAATGAGCAACGGTTTCAGAAGAGAAATATTCTTCAAGAATATAGTGGTTAATTGCCGTTCAACCAATAATTAAATGGTAACAAATAAACACAATGACCATAACAATAATAATTACAATAGTAATCCTCTAGGCTCCAATTGATAAATAAAGAAGCCTTGACTGTACTCTATTCTGTTTCAAAGCCACGCAGGAAGCGGATAGGGCACGAAGGAAGAGTAGGGAGGTGCGAGACGTAGTGTTGAGTGAGGTCAGGCCGAATTGTGGCTCACAAAAACACACGTCAATCAGAAAACAAACTTCTTCGGGCGTATCTTTCGTGGATGAACGACAGCCAAATTTACAGGAACATGACTGATCGGGATGACGGTGCCGTAAAACTAGGTTGCAGTGATTGATGTGGCCATCCACTCAACGCAATGGAAAAAAGATATTAGAGCAAGCCCATAGCTGTTCACTCAAATGGCGGACGATGTCATTTCTGAGGCCTTGCTCTGTTTTTTTTTTTCGAACACGAAACTATATATACTGTACGCGTGAAAGCAACCGAGAGGTCCGGGAAATGGTCGGAAATAATAGGAATTGGCATATGGCATGACAGCTTTGGCTCAGCTTCGTGTTTTGTACTCTGATTGAGCACGCTCTCTCAACCAATGACAGCGCGTTAAATCCGAACTTTATTATGATAATGATAAAACTACACCCCTTTAACTTCCCTTGATAATTATTGATAATTTCTCCTTTCACTACAATTTCATTTTTTAAAAGACTTTTGATCCATACAACGTGGCATTCCGCGTTCTAGGATATTCTGTTATTCCGTGTTTAAGATATTCTGCCATTCCTCTGTTCCCTATTCCTATGTTCAGCTATTCCGGTAACCTGTTAACTCGAGGTATCGTATATCGCACCTTGCTTGCCTCGCAAATTTAGCGGCTCTTTTGGCATAATTCCAGGCGAAATAAGCATACTATGTGTGATTTTGGGGTTTCAAATATCTATTACCTGAACGGTTTACTACAGGAATCTAAATCAAAGCTTTCTGGTCGAAGTTCATGAACCGACTCCTCGGACAGTGTTGTTTTGCAACGGGACGAAGATTGATTCCCTGGGAGAGTCAATTATTTGTTCAGCAAGGCCGCTCGTAATCAGGCTACGTGAAAGCGAATTTGGTCAGAATAGATGACAAAACGGAGCGCCTCTCAGGCCGGCTATGGAAAATTGGTGAGGAAGTTAAACAGGATATATTTCTTGCGTCTATAGTATCCTTGTTTTTTTTTCTATTATTATTATTACTTTTTTTTTTTCAAATTTTTCCTTTTAACGGCAGTACGAACGCTTAAAATTCAAAGTTTATCCCCCAATCGTGCAACATTAGGATATGTACATCTTAAAGATTCACCATGTTTAATATGAAATATTTTATTTGACCAAGACATGATTTTAAGGGGTACTCCAATAGGTACTCTATAAGGTACTCCATGGAGTAGGGCTCTGCGTTTTGTCATCTCCAATCTGAACACGAGTTTTGCAGAGAATGCTCTTTCCAGCAGGTGTCAATAAACTATGTATAGCAGTGATTCTTATTGCTATCAGTGTATTTGTTTTTACAGAGCCAATATATCTGTGTGTGCCAGCCAAGGATTAAAATTGCCATATTTTTGGCAGTTTTCTTTTTTTAGTTCATCTTGTAAGGCTTGGTATTTACAGTTTGAAAATTTCTAACTGGCATTGCTTTTTCATCCTTGAAGAGAGGTATTACACATATATATATTTAAAACATGAATTATGAAGTCAACATAATTTCAATGAGTTTGAAACTAGTATTTATTCTACTTGACAGTATATCACTTGACTGGAGTATAATACTGCAACAGTTATACTAACTTACTGTCTCTCTTACACTTTGTGTCTCAAAAACGGTTATTTATTTACATCATAATGACTTCAATATACTTAATATGCTTTCAAACGTATAAAAAAATAAGTGTAATGAGAATGATATTATGAAACAATTACAATGGGAATACCTGTTTGTGGTACAGCTTACTGATTGCAGAATGTCTTTGACAGTTATTCACATTTTATTTGCCCCTCACATTTCTTAGCAATGATAGTTAATATTGCGAGGAAAGTAAATAAAAAAAGAAGAGAGGACAGTGAAACTTGGGAAATTATAAACTTCACCATCTGATGGAAGAAAAAAAGGGAAACTTGAATTGTGCTACCTAATTTTCTCTATTGCCTTTCATTTATTTGCTCAAATACAATTTAATCAGTTGTAGGGTTTGCCTGCAGTGCATCAAATTACTAAAACAAGGTGGCTGTAAGAAAAAGTACACAACATCAAACAAAATCACACTGAAGTCAGGCTATTGATCATAAAATTTAAAGAATTTTCAATTGGTTTTGTGATTTGTTTGTGATATTTTGAAAAGATGATAACCTCCTGCCTTCTTACCAGTAAAAATCCCTTGTCTCTACCCCCCCTCCAAATGATTAATGAATGGTCCAGGTAAGCTATGACCTTTATTTAAACACGATAATAATTAAACCTAACAGCTTGAGGGGTCGAACGAGGCTCCAAATTAAGTGCGCCCTATATCCCACCCATCCCACCCCAGGGGAGGACATCCATCACACAGTAATCTCGTGTGTGGGAAATTAACGTCTCCTACCCCAACCCTGCAGGAGACGGGACCTCCATTTATTCGTCCCTATCCGAGAAGACTAGAATATCTAACCATTTCTTGATGTTATAGAAAGGTAGCAAATTCTTCTCAATTATTTTAAGACCCTGAGTGTTGGTCCAAATGATGTTCTCACAACTTGAAAAGCACTCCATTAGGACATTATAAGAGAACAGTTCTTTTGCCCGTAAGCAAATTGCTATTTTTAAAGCACTCTCTGAAGATTAAAATTTAATGGCAGACTCACAGCTGTGGTTTGCTACCAATTATGGCTTGTTATTCTTTTGTAAGTGAAGGTAATTTTCCCCATCATTGGTATAAACCTGGTTTTATGTGTATGTGAAGGGTATTTTTCCAAGGTAGGCTAACATTTATAAATTAGTCATCAAATGTCTTGAATTGATTGTGCCATTGCCAGAAACTTTGAATCAATTTAACCTTAGTAACCTAAACTGCCTATAAATAAATAGAATCTTCAAATTTATTTGTTGTTCTCCTCTTGAGGTGCATATCACAGTGTTAAGGTCATGGCAGGCATTAACTACAGGTTCATAGGAAATCTGCATGTGTATATGCATGTGAATTTTTAACATTAAACCGGGAATTGACTACTTTAAATGACTTTACTACATGTGTGTGGGTACACCAATCAAGTACATACTTAGTATACACTTCATTTTCTAAGACTCTTTTTTACCTGGCTGACACTAAATTTTAATTTTCTAACAATATTTCCTATTCTTGTTAATCCTCTCAGACCTCCCAGTATCAACAGGTCATTTTAAAACTTATAGTACACGATTGCATGAGATTACGCAGATATATGGCACATTAATCTTTCCCCTGACCCTAATAACAGTGTATTATGTGTAGAGATTGCTATTCACTATAAAAACATCTGGGTGTATGGGTATAATCCAAAAGGCATTTTTTATGTCAGTTTTACCCATAAAACAGTCCTTACCAACAGTTTTAATTAATTGAATAGCTTTGGAAATGGTGGCATAATGGACACTAGAAAATTCAGCTGGAATACTGTCATTAATTGAGGATCCATAGGGGAAGGACAAATGGCGAATCATATGAAATTCACCAGTGCCTTTTTAGGAACCACACCCAGGGGAGACACTAGAAAAGGTGAAAATGGCGGTTCACTGTAGGGCCAAGCAATGCGGCCTACTGACATTTCCTTTTCGAGTTTGTTATCCACTAATTCCTTGTTCTCACAAGCTGATTTTAAATTGTGTGAAGAACATGGAATGCGTTTCCCTTGGAAATGCGCCCTAAAACCATTTTGAAAACCTGCAATTAATCTCTCTGCAGGCACCGGATCATACCCTGATAAAAGGAATTCAATCGATCAACTCTTACACGAGTTGGTGTACATATAATAGTCAAATTAAAGTCTTGTGCACAGCCTGTGCAGTAAAATATTGTATTGTTCCTGAAACTAGTTCCTAAGTTAGAATAAGAATGAGTTACCTGGTACAAGTATGGCTTTTCACAACTACAATAGTTTCCAGGCTTAATCAAAATCTTCCTCAAATCTACTGGCCAGCTAAGACCCTCAGTCCCTTGCCCTGCCAGCCTTAAACCTTGTCAAACAGTTAGCAGCAGGAGCGAGAAGCAAATGAAAGACAGAAACAACCGAGCCTGTTCCCTCATACACCTTCCTCAATCCTGTAAGCTTATTCTGAAAATGCCATTTCAGACATGGCATATATGCCATAAAATTTCCATTAAACCAGGGTATCCGAATAAATATTTCATGACGGTGATTACCAGTCGTGGAACTAAATGGTTGGGTTTAGATATTTTACAAAGTTTTTCCAGGTTGTCATTGCATTAGTGGAAACTGTGTAAGTAAAAACTGTACATTCAATGTATAACCTTAGTTGTTGCATTGAGTTTGCCAGTATTAGAGACCACCGGTAAACTTTCTTGTGGCAACTTTAACATCATCATCTCAAGTTTAAAACTAAAGAGAAAGCTTTATCGACCTTTAGAATTAATTTTTGTAAAGTACAAATAAAATCCAAGTATTTTTCAAGGTTTCTCCAAATATCTTCATTGTCGAGTACTAGAAACATGATTGACAAAGCTCGTTCTACCGTGGCTAGACTTGCTAGAATCGTGGATAGTTACTTTAAAGACATTGACATACGCAGTTACAGCAGAGGTTAATGAATTTAATAACAGAAAGATCTAAAAAGACGTCGTGTAGACGCCGCCAGCCAGAAGACAATCATGAAACGCAAAGTCACTTAAGAGAAGTTAAAAATTAACAGCTTTTGAACACGAGTTGAAAGTGACTTTTCCTTTTAAGTTTCTACGCTTATCAGTTGAGTTTGACATGTTAGAGAAAGAATCAGCGGAGCAAACAGTCATACCTGGTGACGTCAAGAGAAGATATAAGAGAAGCCTCTACGATTCTGGCGTAATGTTTCACTGACTCACTGGTGTCGTGTGCACCAAACGGTCAATCGATCGATATCTCAACCGTTTCGTTCATTTTTGGCTCATTTTTCCAAACCGAAATTATCAATCACGGTAAATAAAAAGTCATTTCAACCGATCATGACATACTACCCTACATCTGATTAAGAAAGCATTCCATATCCTAGGCAGTCCGTTCAAAACATCAAGAAGTTCACGGAAAGTGTTCACTCTTCCGCTGCTTGAAAATACCGCTGACTAGCACCTCTCCCCACCCCCCAAGACTGGTTTCTGGTTCCCAAATTCCCTTAAATAAACCCTTCGACAGCTTTAATAAATCGAAGGGCTGGAAAAGAAACTAATCGGAGCTCTGCTTTAGGGTCGGCGAAATCTATTATCATGTCTATTTTCCATTAGTATGAGTTGGGGATTGGCGTCGCGGAATCCTTGAACGGTATTAGGATAAACAATCCTCAAGGAGTCAAACAAAGATAGATCGACCTCTGAAATGGTCTCCTTTCTACACATATTGGTTTGTAAAGACGGTTTTAACTAGGTAAGATCCACATACATATAACACAGGCCGTACAGAAATTCGTTAAATATAGGAGTTAGCTTTGTGTTCTCGAGTCAGTGACTCGGCATCGGCCATCGCTTCGTCATACACTTGAACTTACCGTATAACGAGTTGAAGTCAGGCTCTGTCCGGGTACAGATTAGTTCAGTAAAAACACGAAAAGGCTACTAACGTTAATAATTAAGCGTCAGAGGATTACTTGCTATTAAGATTCTTCGACTTAATAAGTATAACAACATCTTTGGCAGAAAATTCAAAACTGACATATAGTGATTTACGGTCCTATTTGTATCTTTAGGTTCAGTGAAGAGCAAACCAGTGGTGCAAATGTAGAAGAGAATTTCACTACTAACACATGTACAAGGCAAACCAGAACAGGCGTCGACACTTTTGACGCAGAAAAAGCATGAGCTTAAGGAGAGAATACTTTGAAGTTGATGGAATCATTTTGTTCCGAAACCCGGAAACACCTACCTCCATTGTCTGTTGTCCACTCTATGCCTTTCACGATTGCGTGTTCGTGACTCCACAAGAATTGCACACAGACATCAAGCATTGATCCAAGCAAGCGTCATTAAGGTCATGTTCAATTATTGACGAAATTTATGATACAAAATGAAATAGCAACAGCTTCTTCCATGATTTGAAATCATCGTGAATAACTAAACTTCCTAAAAGAGAAGGACTGGTAGCGAAATGGAAAAAGAGCCACAATGGAGGTTCAAAGTCCGTCCATCCCCCAAACACTGTTGAATTTTGTGCACCTTGTATACTTTACCAAGACCTGGTTACTGTTTAGGTTTTGCAAACGTTGTTAGAAGAGGGGGCGGGGTTCTGCGTATACGGGATCTTTTGTCATGTATTTAGATAAACGATGTGTTTTCAATAACCTTCGCAAGGAGTTTTGACATGCATTGTAGGCCAGATAGAACTAGCTGGGGAACTGGGGTGAGTGGAAGTCAGCGGTGGCTCATTCAACTCTGAGTGAATCACGTGTTGCCAACTTATGAACAGTTTTTCACACATCACGAGTTTAAAATGGAAAAATTCAAATCTCACCTTCCATTAACTTTGGACTTAATCATACAACGCGAATGAATTCTTTGCTACCCTCACCTTGGTGTTGTTTCTTCCTTTTGTATCAATAAGTTTCCTGAGTGTTTTATATTATTAGTATCACTATTTTTTTTTCCCTTTTAGGTTAGATTATGATATAATATGTTCAACAACGCGCTGTCTTTAAGATAAAGCTACAGACTAACATAGCAGTGTGGGTATGAGCAAAAATTACTGATTGTCAGTTCAAGGTTGCATTTATCTCGAGATGGGTAGTAGTCTACGGATAATTTAAACTTCGTTAAAGAAAGGTGGATTTTTCATGCAGTTTTCTCTGTTTTACTTTTACCTCATATTTGTAAGCTGATAGAGGAGAAGTGTGTTCTTGAAAACGCAAGCATTATGTGATTTTAAACATCAAGGTGCTCTGGTAGAAAGGAACCCTAAGAGTCAACTTAGACGAGATACTATATAACCCATAGAGGTTGTAACGCGAGAGGCGTTGTCTTGAGCGATTATGTTGTTTTGTATGGACCCGAAAATGGCCCACAATTAAATAAAACAGAAAGTAATCGAAAGTAAGATGCGAATCGCACAAAAATTATGAGGAATTGAGTTGGATTTCAGTTTTGGTCGGACATCCGTTCAAATTTGTTTCAAAGAACCATTCATAATATATCTTCGCTCACGATGGGACTGTGAAGTTTATGTCAAAAAGTCTTCCAGTCATCCAAAAAGAGTTATGATCCATGTTGCAATGATATGGCTCTTTTACATCGTCCTTGTATTTTACCCACCGTGATATTGATGACGACAAGGACCAGGGAGGCTGTGGGGTAGAGCTAGTAACCAGTAGCTGGTAGGAGTGGGGAGGGGGGAGTAATTGGGTCCATTTTTTCGGGTATGTGCTTCTGGTCTCTCAGAGCCCCTACCCCATTATAGTCTGTTATCCGGCCAATTGAAAACCCCATCTCAGTCACTTTTGGGTAAAAGAACAACATCGCGCGCCACCGCCAATCTTCCTATTTAAAACCCTCTCAGAGTTTTCATACTCTCAAAATCCCGAAAATGTGCCATTTAATTCTGGCAAATCGACTGAAAATGTAATCGTCGACCTAACAAGTACCCCACAAGGATAATCGTTCATCTTGTATTTTCTTTCTTTCTTTTTCTAGTACTTATTCATGCTCGCAATCTTGCATAATAGTTTTCTGGTTGGGAAAGTCATGGATAGAACGAAAAGAATCTAAGGATTAAGACAGTTGTTACTTAAACCACGTCCGAAAATCACTCTGAAAACAAAGCACAACGAAGTATCTCAAGCAAATAGTCTTGAAGAGTGTCTCTCACTGAAAATCAGTTATAATCACTGACGCAGTTCTAGTGTAAATTAGCAGAATAATATCACATTTGCTAACGGCGGCAACTCC